CACCTACTCCCACCCCCACCCTCTAGTCTCATCTGCCCACCCTCCTCCCCACCCAGGGAGTTCATTCCGCTTGTTCCTACAGCACTTGCTATTAGGGCCACACACAGTAGCTTTTTTTTGGTAATGGGCAAAATTTATATAACATGAAGTTTACCATTTTTAGCGTCCATTTCAGTGGTTTTAAGTGCATTTACAATGTTTGTACAACCATCACCATTATTTACCCATTAAACATGCACTCTTCATCCCTCCCCTAGCCCCCCAGCCCTGGGCAACCACCGCTCTCCTTTCTGTCTCTGTGAATCTGAGAGAATCCTCCAGGTACTTCACGTAAGTGGAATCAGACAGTATTTTTCCTTTAGTGTCGGGTTATTTCACTTATAGTGTCCTCCAGATTCACCCATGATGTAGAATGGGTCAGAATCTCCTTCCTTTTTACGGCTGAATAATAGTCCATCATACGACTATACCCCTAGTTTATCTGTTCATCCATCCATGGACGTGGCTGTTTCCACCTGCTGGCTACTGTGAACAGTGCTGCGTGAGCACGAGTTCTGGCTCTTTCACTTACCAGGTGAAAATGTGGAGCCGACCAAGAACAGCTCTCCGGGGACCACAGTGCCTGCTGACTTAGACCTGCCTCTAAAGTGCCTGCCCGGACCACCCACCGTCAGGGCACCGCTCACCTCGGTGTTTGTGACCAGCATTTCTCGGAACACGTAAGCAATGGTGCAGTCCTCCGACTGACAGCGGATGTGGAAGCTGCCGTGTTCGGCGACATCGGGAGGATCGGGCCAGTACTGGTGACATTTGGTCTGCAAGGGAAGCACGGGGTGTGAGTGAACCTCCACTGGGGGGTGCTGTGCATGAGCAGTTACCTGGGCAGATGGGGCGGGCATTCAACCAGAGCCCTCTCGCTACACCAGGTACTCCAGCCAGGAGACAAGGAGCTCAGGCGGGGCTGACCTGCTGTGTGTCTGCTTTCTATGGGGAGAGGGTTGGGGTCGGCCTAGCAGGGGCCAGGCCACAGCTCATAAAACAGTCTGGGCTGGAAGCCAGAGGACGAGTCCAGAGACTTACCTTCTTTTCACCAGGGCCTGGAATGAACAGGAGGAGGCCTTAGACCTGGGGCCCTGACATAGGAGTGACCTCTCTACTGTGGCCTTCTCTACCTCAGTCAATCCCACTCCAGTCCCTCAGGCCCCTTCTCTGCTCTCAACACCCCTTCTCAACCTCACCCCTGCTCCTCTACCCACCCCCACCCTCTTGAGGTAAAGGCTTCAAGGCACAGTGGTTGAGACGGCACATCTGGGAGTCAGGACTCTGTGGGAGTTAGCCATATGACTTTGAACCTGCTACTCAACCGCTCTGATTTGCGTTTTCTTCACCCAAAAGATGGGGATAGCACCCGCTTCACAGACAGGGACAGAGGCTGGAGATAACAGTGCAGTGCCAGGCTCACTATGTGTGGGGATCAGGTCAATGGAGCCCCTATTCCTGTTGTCACTGTGGGCCCCGCATGAACTTGAGTAAGGATGGTGAGAGAGTCCAGACAGTCCAGATGAAAGACATCCCTACACGTAAATGAACGTCCCTTTGCACCCGAGCAGCAGCCCCTAGGCCTGCTCAGGCTTCCATACAGGACTCCCATGGAGCTGATACTCCCAGAGCACAGACGAGGAGACCCCCGGCTCAGCGGGACTGAGGTCTTAGGGCTGCTGTGGCTTATCTGCAGGCTGGCTGACCCCATGACCCTCCCCATTTTTATTTCCCCCTCCAAACCCTGAAGCTTGTCCCACAGATATCATACTCCTGCCCTGGCTTCAAAGCAAAACTCACGGCCAAGCTGTCCCTCTCATCATAGTTCTGTCAGTCAAATTCTGATCCACTCAAAGTTTTTCCTCCAAGCATACAGTTGCATCAAATGTAAAAATGACATCTGTTTGCAGCTGAAAGAGGGTATGCCAAGGGATGCACATAATTTGTCTGGAAACAGCTCTTCTATTCTTGTTTTCAAATGCCACAGTTTGAACTTAATGCTTTGAAATTAAAGCGTGCTGCTGGGAAGTTAGAGCTGAGAATTTACTTGTAAACCTTAAGCCTGGGTATCTGGCTAACAGCCACTGCCTGACTTTCCTTAGACAGGAAGGGGCTGCTGTCCGTAGAACCCATGGCAGAGCCGACACCCACCAGCCTACATCTCCTCCTCTTCTGCGAGGGGGTGTGGAGCTCTGCCCACAGGCCTGGTGGGAAGATAGCTTCTGAACTGATCAGCCCGTGCAAGGCAGAGCAGAGCCACAAACATCCCTATTTCTAGAGACTCCCAGTGAATCTGCCCTGGACTGGCCTCTCTCTTTACCCCTTGATCTGATTTAGATCTGAGGTCTGTTTGGATCTGAAAGCCCTGGGGGTGAAGTGGGAAGAGTGAGAAGTTTGTGGAAATCTCGAGTTTCAATCCTGGTCAGAGAGTCCCACTAACCACCTGTGTGATCGTGACCAAGTTACTCGGCTTCTTCCAGCTGCAGTTTCATCATGAATGCTGCTGCTGGGAGGAGGGATGACGCTCACGCTCCCAGTGTTTGAACAGAGTATGAAAGCACTAAATGGTGCCTTTAAAAAAAAATTTAAAAATAAATATATATATATATATATATATATAAAATTGATTTCAGAAAGGGAAGGAGAGAGAGAGATAGAAACATCAATGAGAGAGAGAGAGCCTTTGATCGGCTGCCTCCTGCACGCCCCCTACTGGAGATCAAGCCTGCAACCTGGGCATGGACCCTTGACTGGAATGGAACCCAGGACCCTTCAGTCTGCAGGCCGACACTCTATCCACTGATCAAACCAGCCAGGGCAAAAAAATGGTGCTTTTTATGGGCATTATTTTACCTTGGTCTCAAAACAACCCTATGAGGTAGGTACTATCATTGGCTCTATTTTGCATATGAATAAACAAGCTCAGAGAGGGAATCAACTGGTGTCAGATGACACATATAATAGGGCATACACAGATGTAAAAAATCCCCCCCCCCACCAAAGAAATATCCTTGATGGAAGAAGAGAGAAATGACTTTTTCCATTGAAAAGCTGTACCTCTAGAGCTCTATTTCCTTTATGAGGAAAGCATGAACCTGAGGGGAGCACACAAAGAGAAACATGTGGGGCAGGAAAGAAAAAGGGAGAACTCAGAGATCCTGCAGGGAAGCCTTTCCCAGACCACGGGGTGAAGCAGGGCCTCAGGGGAGCCCTCTGCACTGGCAGACCTGGGGGCTGCACAGGCCTGCGGGGAGTCCCCTCTACTAAGTGCATAACCTGGAGAAAACACAGGACATGCTGAAAGTGTCACTTCCCCTGTAGTGACTGACTCCTGACTCCAGGAAGAACCAGCTACTGGGTTGTGGTGAGGACACGATGAGGGTCCCCAGGATGAAGGGCTCCCATCACCTGAGAGCTTGTAACGGGAGAGGGAGGAGACACGCAGCCTGGATTTTAGAAGAACAGGTTTCTAACAATCAATAAACAAGAGGGGTGAGTTCCCAGGGTCTGAGACTGTGAAAGGAACGCTGTGACTCAGGGGAGATGGGAATCTCTCACTCAGGAACAAGCCGGAATGGGTTCAGTTAGGAAGAAAGGGCTGGGAAACAAAGAAACCCAGCTGGTCACCAACAATAGAGAGGAGGGGGATGGAATCTGGACGGAGCAGGAGGGCCAGGACCTGTGTGGCAGCCAGAGGAAGTGAGGCCTCTGGGATGGGAGAAAGGATCTTTTCCGACTTTTCAGTTGGAACAAGCAGAACAAGGGAGAGAAGGGAGTGCTATCAGGGCAGCTCATCTGTCACCAGCCATGCCGGCTAGAGCTCTCTTTTCTCTGCAGAGAAGAATGGCCTACAGCTGGGAAGGGGAGGCCAACATTACAGGGGAAAGAGAAGGCCACCACAGGCACGGACGGCGCCCAGCACCCCGCATGGGCTCAGGGGTTGACCCTGAGGAACTGCATCATGAGACCCAAGAGTGGAGCCTCCACGGACAGTTCCTGAGAAAACCTGGAGCATCTAGGCACCCAGAAGTAACAGAATAGTCTGGCGAATGGGGGGACTGGTAGATTTTGGAAAGGACAAGGCAATGAACTTGATGTCTGTCATCTATAAATACCAGAGTGGCCCCAGATCAGGGCCTGCAAAGTATGGGATGCCTGCAGGTCAATTCGGAGGAGACAGGTCTGTATTCAACAGCATAGAACCACATGGTGGGATGGGTTTTGTTCGTGGGTGCCATGGAGAGTCTCGATTTGGGTCTAGAAGAGCTTTCACATTACCTCCCTGATACTTGAACTCTCTTTTTAGGAGCCTGGAAGGCAAAAGTATTTATTTAAAATTTAATAGTGTTGTTTTTGCATCTTCGTATTTTTACACTTACCTTCTACTTATGGCAAGTGATACTGAACTTCCATTTAAGATGTATCTTTTTGGGGAAGGGGAATACAGTTGATACATATTGTGATAAGACAGATGGTGACATAGGATACTAGAACTAGGGGTGATCATGTTGTAAGGTATAAAAATGTCAAATGACTATATTATACACCTGAAACTAATATAACCAACATAAGAATGTTTACCAACTTTACTTAAATTAAAATTTTTTAAAAAATATGTATCTTTCAAAGGAAATTTATTAAACGACAAAAAAAATAGGTGAGTCAATTTAAAGAAAAATAATACTACAGCAAAATAAATATACTCTAATCCTGGCAATAATTGTTAAGGTGGCACTCAATCTACTACTGATGCTAACCTTTCTGTTATACTTATTGCATACCAAGAAAGCTATCTGTTTTAAGTCATTCAATTTCCCCACAATCTCACAACATAATTGGTACCATTATTCCATTCCCACAGAGGTTTTACAGCTTTCCAAAGTCACCGGTAGGTAGAGCTGAGACTTGAATTCAGGACACATGGCCCTAAGTCTGCCTTCTTGTCCACCACACCACAGAACAGGAGGGTAGCAAGTGCTCCAGAAAAACAAAAAAATGTCCCTGTAATGCCCTAGCTGGTTTGACTCAATGGATAGAGTGTCGGCCTGCAGACTGAAGGGTCCTGGGTTCGATCCCCAATAGGGGCCGTGCAGGAGGCAGCTAATCAATGATTCTCATCATTGATATTTCTATCTCTCTCTCCCTCTTCCTTCCTCTCTAAAATCAATAAAATATATTTTAAAAAATGTTCTTGTAACTTCATTTCCTATTCAGAACAAGATTAGAAGAATCACAAAAAACAAAAACAAAACATAAGCAAAAATTAAAAATATAAAAAACGAGACTTACAGACAAGGGGATGCCACAGACCTGTTGCCTTGTGCTCTCAGCAAAACCTCAGACAGGCCATCCCTCAGTACAGAAGAGGGAGAAATGGCAGGGGCTGGGGGTAGAGCTGGGAGAATTAACAACTGCTCCCCAAAGAGTGCCCTCGATGCCTCTGACACACAGGCTTCTACAGCCTCTTAAAGACCTTCACATTTATTTAAACAGTGACTTATGTGAAGAGAAGAGGTTTTGATGAAAACTGTGACAAGAAGCTGAGAGTGATAGCCAACACAAAGAATGAGGAGAACCCCCAGGAGCACTCTGAAGGCCAGATCTGATGGCTGAGTCCTCCCAGCAATGATGATGATGACGATGATGGAACACACACACACACACACACACACACACACACACACACACCACACCAATGCCTTAACATTTGTTGGATATGTGCAACATGTAGTTCTCTAAGCTTCTTGTACATATTTTCTCCATCTTCATCTACCCTACAAGGGGAGCGCCATTATCATCTCCATTTCCCACAGGGACAGCTGAGGCTCAGAGAGGGTAGGCACTTGCTCAAAAGGAACCTTTTTTTGGACCCAGACTGTGTGGCTCCAGAGCCTCTCCAGAGTGCTGTACGTAGGTTTCAAGAGCTTGAGACAAAGACCAGACAATGTCCACTGACCACACGCTTGGTGGGAGCTGAACGTGTCACTGTTTGCAAGTCTAGGATGACTTTCAGGTACCGGAAAGAGCACTGCATATTAAGAAGGGGTGACTCACTCTGCGTCTCCAGGTGGGAAAAGCAGGTGGGGTAACGGTTCAAAGCAACATGGATTTCAGCTCTTTGTGAGGAGGGATTTTTAAAATATCAGAGCTGAACACCCACAGATGGACCCTGGAGGGTCTTAGCAGAGGTGGGGAGCGCTCTGCCTGGGACACCACACGTAACAGCCATTTGCGATCTATGGGGCGCTATCAATCAGTAGGAATCCTTATTTTGCTGTTTCAGGTGAGAGGGTAGACTGGTCTCCTCAAACATACTACCCATCCCAATCCTGTGCTCTGACTTTCAGCGTGGACCAGTTTGGCATTCTGAACTACGTAGCGAGGAAAGGCCTGGGAGGAAGTGGCACAGATCCATTCAAAGCAGGTGGCTCAAAATTAATTTAGATTTGATTTTGGAATGTGCTTCTGAATAAACATTTCATAATGAAGCTATCCAGATGTAGGCACAAGTTCGAGCATTCACGATACAGTATCCCTTGCATGCTGATTTCTGTTATATAATCAGAGATCTGTTCCCGAGGAAAATGTACATCCTGGAAAGCACAGTACAGAGTCCCTCACTCTCCGAATTAAGCCCTTCTTACCTGCTTATGCAAGGGGTTTTGCTGCCACACAAGCAGAGGTTGGTAGAGGTTGTCATTTCTCCTACATTTTACCTCCACTGTGAACCTGGCACCCACACTGCTCTTCTGGGGACCAGCACTTGTGCTGGGTGGGTGAGGCCAGTGCAGGGGTTCTGGGCAGGTGAGGTGAAGCAAGGGGAAGGACCTCTGGCTTGTAATAATGGATCCGAGCCAAGAGTGGGAGGGGCTGTCCCGTCATTCTTTAGCTTGGAGAAGGCCAGGGTGTGGGCAGCAGGAGGGCTGAGCTTGCCATCATTAGAGAAGTCCACCAGTAGCTCCTTACAGAAGCTTTATGGGTCATGTAGGGGCTAGACTGGGCCACATTTAAGACCCTTTCAACTCTGAGATTCATGTTCCACAGAACACAGCGTGACATGCACACATCTGAATCGGAAATCAAGCCACTTACCCGCCCTCGCTCTGTGAGAGTCGTCAACATGACGATGAGTGATAACTTCTGATCCCAGACGACTTGCCAAAACTGTGCACAGGTATGTGGCAGGGGTCCCTGAGCGGCAATGTACTTGTTCACAAGGTTGGCAGCAGGAATTTCCATCTGGCAAGAGAGTGTTAAGGCATTAGAATCTGTTACTGCCACAAGGAAACTGGATCTTAAACTCTTCTAGCTGATCACTGACATCACACCAGAATAATGTCTCTATCAACTTATGGCCAGTCAGAAAAACTTTCAAAAAGCTATTTTTAAAATTTCTTGAAAGATATTTGACAAAGGTGCTAGCATTAGATAGTTAAGATACAACTATGATACTCGGTAGGCGATCATTAGAAATGTACCTACAAGATGATGGGAGAGTTTAAATGACCTTCACTGCTGTATCGTAAATATCATCAATATTGTGCATCTATATTTTCAGGGACACCTATCAATCCTCAATGGAGACAAACTATGTAAAACACCTTTGGCTTCCTCAACCCTGGTGTCAGTATCTCCCTTGCCCCCGAGTAACTCAAGGAGATTGGACTGTGTGGTGTTATTGCCCCACCACTGTTTCTTTGTTTTTAAATTGAATTTATTGGGGTGACATTGGTTAATAAAATTATGAAGGTCTCAGGTGTACAATTCCATAATTATCCATCTGCATATTGTGTGTTCACAGCCCAAGTCAAGTTGCCCCCACCATTTCTTAAGACATGAGGTATGTTAAAGTGAGGGTCAATGAATCAATGAATCCCATGGATGTTTTGGAATAAATGGAATCACTGACCAGACCCATTTTATTTATTTATTTATTTTTAGGAAAGCTCTTGATAGTTTTGCTATAAGTTGAGACCTGAACTTGAGAAGTCATCTGTTCATTTACACCCGAAGTTGGCAAACTATGGCCTGAGGACCAAATGTGACCTTCGCTTTGCAAGCTGAGAGCAGTATTTTTATGTTTTTACGTGGTTGCAGTTTAAATGGTTGTGTAAGTACCTAAGCAATATCCTCAATTTTGCCTCTTGACTTGCAAAGGCCAAAATATTGACTCCCTGGCCCTTGACAGAAAAGATGTGCTGACCCTTGGTTTAGATGAAGAAACGGAGGTTCAGAGAGGTTAACTAAGTTGCCCAAGATGTGTTTTCAGAGTAAAATGACTGCTTTTCTCACAACATGTGAAATCTTTTACCTTTTCTTTTTGGGTTATATGCACAGAGATGGTTTTATTTTTATTTTAGATGACAGTATATACAGTAACAACGGGGAAAACACAGAAAGTTACAAACATAGCACTGGCAAAAATAAAAATAAAACCCACAACAAAACAAACCCTAACCCAAACCCAAAACACCTAGCTGCCCGCAGCCGAGGACAGAAGGCGTGTGGACCCCGGAGTCAGAGACACAGAATCTAAGTTTTGGTCTCACCTTAAGTTAGCCTTGTGACTTTCAAATTATCGAATCTCTCCGAACCTTAGTTTCCTCCTCTGTAAAATGAGGCTATTCTGCCTTCCCTCCGGGCTGTTGTGCTGAAATCAGGGAGTGAACAGGAAAGCACTTCCTCAAATGCAAAGCAGCCCGGAGCCAGGATCATGCTCCTTACAGCGATTAATGTGCTCTTTCTTATTACCCAGTTTCTAACTTACGTTCACGTGACTCGCATTAATATAATCTTCATTTCCCTGCAGTAATACCCGGGTGGTGTCATCTGTGGGGGGAAGAAAAAGCATTTACCGATGATTCCCAGCCTTATTTTGATCTTACCAAGTACACAAGGGTTCAGTTCCCAGCCCCATCTGCAGCCCTCGCCGCATTAGCATAAACACTATTCCCCAACTGTTCCCAGTCTGAGATGGCAGCAATAAAGACGGTGGTGTTTACAGACACATTGAAAGTCGGTCCAGAATACCAGACAATCTGTTTTAGGAAGGGAAACATTATCTCAGTGTGTGGGGGGAGGAGGCGTTCATGCCAGAAACTCACAAGGCAACACGTCTTTGTATCGGTTTTTGTCCAAATTTTGAGGCAGCTTTGCAAAGGTGATGGCCAACCCAGGTTTCTTTCTGTAGAGTTGCTATATAACAAACAGAGAAGTAAAAAGCCATTGTAAAAAAAAAAAACAGCTATCAAAGGAGTGTGAAAACATACTTGAACAGTAAAAGTTTATCGTTCACAGTGCCAAAATCTTACCACTTAAAAGTGGTTGTGTGTTACATCTTAAAAGAAAAATGTTTCCAATAAGAAATTCTACGATCCCATAAGAAATATTCTTCAATTTTTAAAAATCATGAACAAGGGTCTTTGCGGAGGGCGGGGGGGTGGGGGTGGGGTATCTGTCTGAGTCACAGATAATGATCACAGCAAGTAAAACCTTAATGACAATCATTTGACAAATGCACAATCATTTGACAAATGCCAAAAGCAGGTAGAGAAAAAAAATTCCGACTTAAAATGAAATGAAAATCATTTACATTAGTCTAAAAACACTTCCCTCCAATTCAGTGGAGTAAACCGTATGTTTTGCTTAAAAACAAGAACATTCCATTCATCGTTCCACAAGTCTATTTCCATAGTAAAAACATTTATTGCCTCAAGGAAACCAAAACATTTATTCCCACACATAGTAAACTTCATATGAAGAGGTATTCCCCTGTGCATGTAATCACCAGCAAAAATATCAATTGAAACAGTCTTTGCCTATCTACAAGCACCCATCAGACACCTTTGCACAGCACCTGATGTGATTTTGACGACAGCTCTGTCAGAGGTATTAATAGCATCCTTCGTTTGCAAGTGGAAGAGGCAGAGATTAAATGCTTAGATGATGTACCACACACTGAACTCAGATCTGACTTCAGTGCTTGAGTTTTCTTTTTTCCTCGAAACCACTTTATTGAGGTCTGGTTGACATGTAAAAGGCGGTCCATATTTACTCTATACAGCGCTGTGAGTTTGGGGATAAGTATGCAAGAGTGACCTGTCATCATCAAGGCCATGGACAGTCCCTCCCTTCCAGAAGTTTCCTCCGGCCCCCTTCGGCTTTCTTTTCTACACAACTGTTTCTCCCATTTTGAACCTGAAAGTGAAACATTATTCACCAGTGGTTTTTATTAACTTTATGGGAATTTTAAAAACACATTTTTCAATGTTGGATCTATTTTTTTTTTTTGCAGGAAATTTGGGATATTCAGACTTGTATAAAAAAGAAAATTGCCAGTAATTTGACAACCCTGAGACAACCCTTTTCATATATGTTCTCCAGTTTAGATTTTTCTGTGCATGTGTACACAAATATACATAAGCATATATGCAAACACATAACACACATGTTTTGTAAAACAAAAAACGGAGATTGAATTGTATATGCTATCATGTTCCATACTGTGTTCTAAGGGACCAAGTGTTTTAAAAGAAGCAAATTGGCACCCTTAGAAAAAGTTTCAGGGTCAAATAAATTTGGGGAATACTACAAGCCATCTTCTGTTCTATGACTCTCCAAGAAGACAAGCCCTGTAGTGCGTAAGCTTGTTTAATTATGATTAGCTAAACATTTCTCAAGCTAATTTGGAGAATCTCACATCTCACAAGAAGCGTTCCGGGAAATACAACCATAATTTTGAAGCCATTTTTCCCCCTACTTATTACACAGTGTCTAGTTTTCTGTGTTATTAAATATTCTAAGTATTCTCTATACACATGATTTTTACTGTCTCAATAATCTACAGTTTCTCATAATTTATTTCAACTTTTACTCTACTTTTTAACTAGGCTGTTTTTAATTTTTTCCTCTTATAAATTTTCAGGGACAGAAGTACTGCATCAAAGCATATTTTGAAGGACTTTGATACATATAACCATGCTGCCTGCCCTCAGGGGGCATAAGAATGCTCGGTTCAACAAATTGTGGCTCATATCATCAGCTAGAACGTGTCTGCAATTTGAATAGGGAGGCCGAACGTTATTTCGCCCCTTATGTTTTTGCTAATTTTATTTGTTGGTTTTTCTCTTATCAGCTTTTTTTTAAAAAAATTAAACAAACAAGTTGTACAGAAATCACCAGGAGAGAATTAGCATAGAGGTTTGGGATAACGACAATTGTGTCATATCTTATACATTTACTAAATGTTTAGAATTCCAATCTCTCCCCGCACTCAGCTACTGATCGCCTTTATAATTTTAGTTCATAATAATCAAGTAGCCATTGGACAACTTCTTAAGTATCTGCAAACTGTAATGGACTCTCTGAGCTCATTCTGGAAATAAATTCATGGTTTATTGGTGGTTTTGGTTTGATTCTGAAAGGGGAAATATCTGAATCAGATTCCCCTAAACTGCACAGAAGTAAAATCTAATTAAGTAAATATAATCAGTAAACCTAACCTGGAGGTAAAAAGAATTTCTTTTCAAATAACAAAAATGTAAATGTAATCAACTCGAGATGGTCTAGCAGAAAAGCAAAGATCTAGCAAAAGGTTTTAATTATAGTAAGTATATAAGTATCTCAGCAGTATAACGATCTTTTGAGATTACAGAATACGTACTAAAAATAAAAAATAAAGTACTATAGCAGTGTTTGAAAATATTTTACATGTGCACACCCTGGGCTGATAGAAATGCATGGTATAGTCATACCACAAAATTATATGCAAGCAATAAAAAAAATTAGACTAAAAGAACACATTTGGAAGGATCTCCATTTGTCTATTTTTAAGTGAAAAATGCAAGTTACAGAATAATATATACAATAGTGACCCCATAGCAGCATATAGTATGTGTGTGTGTGTGTACTTATGTACATATGTGTGTAAAAATTATATTTGCATGAGCATTGGAACAAATATGGAAGGATACCCACCAAATTATTGGTAAATTATAACAAAGAGAAAGAAGCTAAAGGGGATAGGGGTTAGGAGACTATTAATTTTACTGTGGCTATTTCTGAATTCCTTGAATTATTTACAAGGGAAGGGCTCAAGTTGGAGTTGGGTGAAGGGCTGGGTCCCACCTGGCGATGGTGAGTTTTGACAATAGATTAGACTTTTAACAGATTCTAACCCTAGATCTCTCTCAGTGTGACACTGGGCAAGTCCTTTCGCCCCTGAGCCTCATTTTCTCCATCTATAAAGGTGAGACCCTAATCATTCTGGCCGTATCTATTTCACAGAACTGTTGTACAGTCAATGGAGACAAACTATGTAAAACACCTTTGGCAGATTCCAATATGCTATAGAAATGCTAATTATTCAGTTCGATTTTGTTACAGCTGGGACCAAATGCTTTCTGGAACACATTTGTAATTGTTTATCAAAAGCCGCGGGAAGCACAGGGAAATTCCCTTCATGGAGATATACTTCAAAGGGAGCTGTGCTGAAACCAGCTCATCACCATGGGAGGGATTCGGCCATGGCCCATCTACCCCAGGGCAGGCCCTTTGTGTGGTGGAGTGGGTGGGGTGGGCACCTGCTAGGTACCAGCCATAGCTTCCTGCCCGGGTCCAGGGCACAGCCCCCGTAGGCCACGTCACCCACCTGCTGATAGCACTGGACGAGCATATCGAGAGCCAGGACTGCCAGGACTATAGAGTCAGAGAGCCCTGGGGTCCAACTCTAAGTTGACATGAACACTTTTTGTGTGAACATCAGACATGTTCTTTAGACTCTTGGAACCTCTATCCTATATAATAAAAGGATAATATGCAAATTGACTGAAATGCAGAATGACTGGTTGCTATGATGTGCACTGACCACCAGGGAGCAGACGCTCAATGCAGGAGCTGCCCCTTGGTGCTCATGAGCTCCCACAGGGGGAGTGCCGCTCAGCCAGAAGCCGGGCTCACAGCTGGCGAGTGCAGTGGCGGTGGCAGGAGCCTCTCCTCCCTTCGCAGGGCTAAGGATGTCCGACTGATGGCTTAGGCCCACTCCCCGCAGCAGGTCTAAACCATCAGTGAGACATCCCCCAAGTGCTCCCAGACTGTGAGAGGGCACAGGCCAGGCTGAGGGACCCCCCGAGTGCACGAATTTCATGCACCCAGCCTCTAGTTTATAAATAATGATAGTTGTTACTTTTTATTGCACTCTTATCATGTGTCAGACAACACATTAAGTATTTATCTCATCTGACCCTTACAACTAACCCATGAGTCACCCAAGTGGGGCAGTAGAGGCCACAGAGATTAAGGGACATGCCGAGGTTACGTAGGAAGTGAGTGGTAGGAAGAGCCAGGATTTAAAGTCTGCTTGGCTCCATGTGGCTAGATAGCTTCTCAGATCTTTTCTAGCTCTAATTTGTACTAATCTAATAATAACTCTCACATGTAAATACATTCTGTTGTTCGCAAAGATTAGATAGTTGATAAGAGAGCAAGCTCTTGAACTAGCCTGCCTGGGTTCCAGTCGGCTGTGGGATAACCTCCCCCAGACTCTGGTCCTTCATCTATATAATGGGCTGCTGTGAGAATTCTGTGTGATGGTGCACGTAATGCCCTCGGCACATAGTAAGTGCTCATTAAAAGCTTCCCTTTGTCTTAGTTTCTGGTTTGATCTGGCTTCCTTTAGAATTCTTCTCTAGCAGCTGTGCAGGATCTCTTTTCCCCATCTGTAACAGTGGTCATTAAATTATGTTTCACAGTCTAGGGTTCCTTGGGACAAAGTGGGGAGACGGAGGCAGGGCTCCATGTACCCCACCAGCTGCATCACAGAGCTGCTCTGCTATTATCTGTTTTGCATTCTGGAATTCTGCAAATGTTATTTAAAAAGAGGGTTTCCCGTCCTAACCGGTTTGGCTTAGTGGATAGAGCGTCAGCCTGCGGACTGAAGGGTCCCAGGTTCGATTCCGGTCAAGGGCATGTACCTTGGTTGCAGGCATATCCCCAGTAGGGGGTGTGCAGGAGGCAGCTGATCAATGTTTCTCTCTCATCAATGTTTCTAACTCTCTATCCCTCTCCCGTCCTCTCTGTAAAAAATCAATAATTAATTTATATATATTTATATATATATAAAGAGGGTTTCCCTACTTCATTTCTAGGAAATACATAAACTAAATGAAGGAAATGGAAATGTGAAACCAAAATTTAAAACCTAAAATTTCTATGTTGTCCATTTCTTATGCTCTAGTCTAACTATACACTCTAAAGGCAAGACTTGGGATGGGCAGCAGTGGGGCAATGGTTCTGGTACAATATTTATCCCACCCCTTTCCCCCATCATCCTCTGGATCCGCATGGACATCAGAACCTCCGGGTGATCTGGTTAAGAGTATCAACACCTAGGCCCATCCCAGCATGGCTGACCCAGGAGCTGTGTCTGGACCCAGTGTAACAAGCTCTTTGGGTAATATCCATACAGATGCTCAGCGTGTCATCCTTTGAGAAACACTACTCAGAAACACGGGGGACGGGTGGGTACTTCTCTCCAAAGCGTTTTTAAACTGTTAATGATGTTCAGTGAACGTTGGTCAAGAAAAACCTTATGTGGGATTCCCCTACATGAAACATGAAAGCGGAGCCCCCTGAGTGGAGTAGATTGTCCCTCGGGAGCACAGGTTAAGACCAAGCTTGGTCTTCTTCCTCATTGAGAGCCCACAGCGCCCCTCTGTGGACAGTGTGATAAAAGACAAACGGTTCCCTCTGGGCTGAAGGACCTCCATCACCTGGAGATGTCTCCAAGGACTCCTTGCTGCAGTTCTCCGCCCAGGTATCCCCGTTTCCCTTTGCTACCTGACACCCTATGAGCTTAGTCTGCGTTTAGCTCGGGACCTTCCTGGCATATTCTACCCCCCTCCACACTCAATCCCATCCATCCTCTATTAATACGACATCTCACTCCAGAGGACCTCCGGTAACCCTCTTGCCTCCCGTTTCTACAGAACACACATTCTGTGCAATGACATCTTGCCCTATATTGGTCTTTAGCTGTTTCTGGGACGCATGAGACATCCATGCAAATATACCAAAATTAGACTGTAAACTTCTTGGGGCCAGAAACCCACCTTTTCCCTCCTTCGTGTGCTCCTGATTCAGTATTTGAAACATGGTAACACCTAATGTACACCCCCTGAATGAATGAGTGACTGCACGGCGCCTTTCACATCTCCTCCAACACCCAACAAGGAATAAAAGGAATACACGCTGTCTCTGGCTTTTAAGTTCTTGTTTCAATGCTTTTGGAGAATGTTTAAAAATATGCAGTTTTAGTGTTTAGAATGTACATTTCAATTTTGAACTATTTTGCAATGCAAGGCCAGGAAGCACAACCTCTGTATTTTCTTCTTTTAAAATCCTAAGCCTACACAGCCTCCTGCAGGCCAGTGGGAAGAAGACTTTCTCTCTCTGTATTCAGTCTATGTCTATCCAATTCTACCCACGTAATTACATTATTCCTACCCTTTAATCCTGTTCTCATTTTCACAAGATACAAACTTATTTTTTGTCTATATTATCTGCCATGACCGTTAAGTTTAAAATTCCCTATTGATTTTTTTTTTTGTGGGGGTGGGGAGGTCAATTATCTTCACCTTTCACCTGTGGGTTTTTACTTTCTACTGTTGTTTAACACACATTGCTCTAATAATGTATTCTGTTTACATCCTATTCCTTGCACCATAAATCTCTTCTCACTCGAGACCCTATGCCTTGCGTTCCTTTTTGTTCCATATTCATACTCCTCCTGCTTTCCTGAATCAATGTGCAGTCACATACGTTTGACAAACTGCCTAGCTTTCCTTCTGTGACTCTCTTTTTATACAAATAAACAAGGAATTGCTGATTTCTGCTTTCAAATTCAACCCGAGACTGTCTTTCCTAATTTATGAATCCAAACGGGGTGTGTTGGCGTTAATCACGATCGATTTTCTTTTATCGCCCTGCTTAATGCTTCTTTGTGCTCTTTGTTATCTCTTATTGCATGAACTACTCTGCTTTCTTCTACCTTGAGAAACATTTGGACGATAAACACATTCTGTTTTCATTCTGTTGGCAAGCAGATCAGTAAAACTGGCTTAGAAACCGAGCCTTCTCTGGTCCTACTTTGCTTTGTAAAGTCTGTGTGTGCTTTCTGTCAACAGTTCCAACCTGTGATTAGCGGTCCCTCCTGGCGAAGGCCGGGGGCATCTGACTTCCACTCATGTTCACAGTTCACATGGTTCTGGGCACTCGGGGAGGCAAGGCCCTGTGCTCGGATGGGATGACACTAACTGCTCCACAGGATGCCCGGCAGGGCCAGGGACGGGCTCCTCCGTCATGTTTTGGGCGCCACCCACACCGCCTCTCCACTACCTTCTACTCCTGAGTGTTTGGAGCCTTTGTGTTGGCAGCTAACTAGCTCAGAGTCCCTCCTCCTCGATTTCTGACGCGTTTCTCCATGACTACCAAACATACTAGAATAAGAGGGTGAGGCAGAGTTCAGTGATGGGCTGTGGGCCCCATCCCCCGCTTTCTGGGCCCGCTCCCCTGCCCGGTGCTCGGAGCCCCTCCTGTGTTTGGCGATGAGCATGGGCCCCCCGGGTCTCGGCTGACTCGGCAGCACCTGAGCAGCCCACCGAGGCACCGAGGCACCGGGGTCCAGGTTGCGGGTGGGCCCTCGGTTCTCCTACCTCGAACTGGATCAGCACCGTCCCACTTTCGAGGCCCTTCTTTAGCTGTTCCATGGATCCCTCCAAGGTGTCGGCACCCTCCGGACACTCAGGGAAAATGGCCTCTGGGAAGAGCTGGTTCAGTTCATCTTCAGATTTGATATCCGCAAAGGAGTGGACAGCTGTAGGGGACAAGAAAGGGTGCGTCTGGCTGTGCGGCAAAGCTCTGGGGATCCGTTTCCTCCCCCCAAATTACCCTTATGACACCTGCATGCAGATGGTTTAAAACATCTCATTAAATGATTACGCACACAGCAATTCTCACCAAAGACACTGCTTCTTGTTGAATGATTATACGTGTTGAATACACAAAACGACATACTATTCTGGTTCGTTTATGATGGTGTTTAGATGTTGCCAAAGGTAAAAGAAAGGGAAAGGATGCTTTTATAGAAAACATATCTTCTCTCTTCGCTCTCTCTGACCTGGTTCTTGTACCCATCCCCTCACCCCCTTCTCGGTTCCTTTTCATTTGCTCCCTTAAAACAGGCACTTTCCCAGGCCCTGGTGTGAGGTCCGGCATGCTGTCCATGACACCATCGTCCCACACAACTCAGCCAACCTAACTGGTGGCCATTTTTAGGTGGGAGGCTCCCAGGTACACATCTCAAGTCCTCACATCCCTCCTGCACTTCATGCCTACCTCGTCAGTTCGAATCCGCCCTGCATGGCAGACTCCATATGAATAAAAATAACTGTGGGCCCCCGACTGCCCCACCTGCACGTACCTCTCCAGCCTCACGTGCCTCTTCCCACCTACCGTTACTTCCCTCTCCAGTCTCCCAAATTGGAAACTTAAGCATCATCTTGGAATTTTCTCTTTCTACTCAGAAGGGAAGGCCACTCCCTCACTCAAAAGCCTTCACTGGCTCCCTACTGCCCTCAAGATAACAGGAAAGACGAGGAGAGTATCAACATGTACCTTTCTCCACCGGGTTGGACTGGATCCTCACAATGCTGAACACGAGTCACTATTCCCATTACACAGATGAGGAAACTGACTCTCAGGGCAAGTAAGTTGTCCAAAGTTATCAGGGCAAGGCACAGGAATTTGGTCCGTATCTCTGAGCCCGAAGACCACATTTTTTTTCTCTGATCAGAGAAACTCAGCTCTTCCATTGCTTTCATGATTTCTGTCATATCCGCTATTCCCTATGCTCTTTCCTTATTTTTCTTTCAATCAGCTCCTATGTTTTTATTTAAAAACTAAACTTATCGTTACTGTTGTAGGAGACAAGTGGCACTGCCCTTGTGGTTCTAATAGTCTATCGACATCTGTTTTCCTCACCTCATACAGGCCAGAGTGCTGTCCTGCTGGCTGCCGATGAGGGCAGCACCCCACGGGTGCATGGTGTGGCCAAGGGCCTGCTCCCAATTGCTGGACTCCTTGGTGCCCTATCATCTTGCGGCCTTACCAGCCACACCACAGCAGGGCAACTTACTTCACCTTTCTGTGACTTGGTTTTCCCATTTCCTCACTTGCAGATAATACTAACATTATAAGAATGTTATGAGACTTGAAGAGGATAATTATTTAAAGCCATTAGCACAGTGCAAGGCACTTCTCTGGCGCTCCACAGACATCAGCTACTACCACAACTGAATACCTACTGTGCGCAGAGCAGGGTACTGGGATTTGGTGGGACAGGATGGGGTGGAAGAGGGTAGGTACTGATCCAGAGGCTCTGATAAGGCCTCACAGGGAGGTGGGAGGAGAGCTAACATCGGATGGCTCCTGACTGGAGTTTTAGTGAGAACAGAGAGAAGCAGGTGTGTGTTTGGGGTTGGAGGCTGGGGGGAAGGGGGGGTTGGCAGGGCTCGGGGAGCTGTGGGGGGCGGAGAGGCAGCTGTGACATTCACCCAGTAAGACCAGAACAGAGATGAGCGCTGTAGGGCCAGGGCTTTGAGTCACACACTGCATTGTCCTTCAGTGTTTCAAAGCCAGGCAGAACCAGTCAAGGACTCGGCTCATTGTTCTACAGCAACCACACCAAGAGCAGTGATGGTGTTCACAGAAGCCATCCTGCCCACGCCCACCACGCACCGGGCAGCATTCTCGGTGCTCTCCAGTACGAGTGCCATTTAATCTTCACAAGAACCCCGAGGCAGGGCTGTTCTTCTTGTCCTCGTTTTACGTGAGGGCAAGAAACTCGCTCAAGGCCCCTCAGCCGTAGGAGGCGAAGTGAGAACCACGCAGAGGCTGCACCCTGGCCCTGTGCCCCCTGCCTCTCCAGCAAAACCAAATGCACATGAATAACATATAACCCGATCCTTCCAGAAAGGGCTGGAACGCAAATGCCTGCAGGGCCAGGCAGCTAAGAGAGGTGTGTGCTGTGGGCCCATTGGGCCTGGGAGGACTGGGGGTCATGCCCTGCATACAGGGGGCAGTGGGCGCTGCCCATCTCCAGAGGACTGGCCGGAGGGGCCAGGCGTCTATGGTTAGATCTTCAAAATTTTCAAGTGAGAAATCACACATCCAGGTTGTTATAGAAAAGTTCTTGATTTTTGTTGGCTACAAGCTCAACGTTTTCAAAACCAGGGAAGGGCCAGGTCAGGCCCCACCTGGCTTGGGCTGCTCCCCCACAGGCGGCTGTTACCTTTCCTCCGGATGACCAGGGCCAGCTCCCGCGTGTGGGACTCCCGGCTGGCTTTGATGAACATCACCACCTGGTCGTGGGTGTGCTCTGAGATGTCCCGGCCGTTGATTAACACGATTTGATCCCCTTCGTTCAGCTTCGGAATGCAGGTGTCCGCCTGAGTGGAGGGGAAGCGAGTTTCTCCGGTTACCATCTCACAGTCCTCAAGGGAAGGATGCCGCCGCCCGGGGCCCCGACACCTGAGACCGTGATCAAGTTCTCCATCCCTCCCTCCAGGATTAGCGTCATTATTTTTACATCCATGCGATGATGACATGGCAGCTGGCAGGGGAAATCCAACAACGTGCTGCTCAGAATTCAAGTTATGAAACATTCCAGAATCAGGCTGAGAGAATCACGGAGCCATTTCCCCAGGGCGGCCGACCTTCCCTGATGAACGTAGCGTCACGGCTATGACGCTTCTGACCTTCTGTTTTCTGGACGGGCTGCCTGAGAATGATTTGTCAGCTCAAAGTGAGCTTTTACTCGTCTTGCAATGGAGAGAGACTATGTGAGCGTAACACCAAGGGCAGAAGCCATCACGGAGAGAAGCGAGGCACTGGCCAAGGTAAAATGAAAGCCTTCGTCCCTGAAACGGGCCACAAGCAGTAAGAAAAAGTAAGTCGCCAGCTTACGGGCCCCTTCAGAGTAAAGCCCCATCCCGGTGCCTTCCTGGGAGGTGCAAGGACTCTGGTGCTCACTGCTTTACAGAAGCACATGATCTGGCCCGGCTGGTGTGGCCCAGTGGTTGAGCGTCCACCTATGAACCCTGAGGTCATGGTTCGATTCCCAGTCAGTCAGGGCACATGCCCGGTTGCAGGCTCGATCCCCAGTCGGGTGTGCAGGAGCACTCTACCAGTGATTCTCTCTCATCATTAATGTTTCTATCTCTCACTCCTTCTACCTTCCTCTCTGAGCACATGATCTGCTAAGAAGGCTTAGACCGAGGGCTGAGGGCAGGGTGATGGAAGGCAGGTCCCATGTGCCCACTCAGAGCAAGCAGACCAGCAAACTGTGCCTCAGTTTCCCCTCTTGAGCAGCATTTCTCAATTTCAGTGTGCACACCAATCACCTGGAGAGCTTGTTAAAAATGCAGATCCTACCCGGCCAGTGTGGCTCAGTGATTGAGCATCGACCTATGAAGTAGGAGGTCATGGCTCAATTCCTGATCAGAGCCCATGCCCGGGTTGTGAGCTCGGTCCCCAGTGTGAAGCATGCAGGAGGCAGCTGATCAATGATTCTCTCATCACTGATGTTTCTTTCTATCCTACTTTGGGAGGTTTGGGGTGGGGCCTGAGATTCTGCATTTCTCATGAGCTCCCAGGTGATGTTGATGAAGTGGGAGCTGTAGCAGTGGGGACCACCCTGAGCAGCAAGGTTCTGGAAACATGGACGCTGTTCTCCTGCGCCCCCTCCTCCCAGGTTTATATGCATGCACTACACACACTCTTTGCTGCTGGCTGCAGAAACAGAATTCTGTTAGATTTTGGGGAAAACAAAGAGGAACATGTTTACTTACAGGCGACTCTGGGTTTATCCTCGACACCACAAGAGGCATCTTTTGATCCACTCCTCCCTGCAAATATGTGAAGTAAAAACCAAAACAGCCGCGTGAGTAATTCCAGCAACAAAGACACGCAGCTCTCTCTGGCACAGGGGAGGGGTCTGACCTCATGTGATCCTGCTCTTAATCCAGGGGACCAAGCCCTTTCCGAATCACAGGTTCCTGAGCCCGCTGGGTACTAACCAGAGGACAGCTCAGAAGCTGCCACTGCCACCCCCATGTCCCATGAACTTCAGGTGCTCTCGGAGGAAGCAAGCTCCTTTAAAAACATGCAAACAGCTCCAGGAGGAGGACTCCGAAAACACAGCCTCTAAGGGCTGCTGGACAGGGGGTTTCAGTGGAGGAGACGGAGCCACAGACAAGGTCACAGGCTGCGAGGTCCTGGGCAGGGCCCCTGAGGGGTAGGAAAGGCCACCCACCTGCCCTCACTCAGCTCTAGAGCAGGGTCTGGTTAACTTTTTCTGCAGAGGACCCGAGAGTACTGTACACGTGTTAGGCTTTGTGGGACAGAGGCTCTGTTGTCAAACCTCAACCCTGTCACCGCAGTGCCCAAGGAGCCCTACACCAACTGTAAATGAATGCATGTGGCTATGTTCCAATAAAACTTTATTTGCAAAAACTGGTGTTTTGGTCCCTAGGCCATAGCTTGCAGACCCTGCCTAGAGGCAGGCAAAGGAGGGTAATGGCCCTGTAAATGGCCCTGCACTTGAACATTGTTCTCTTATTGGCTTAGCAATGCTGGGGGGGGGGGGCTCTCTTAATCACCCCTCTTCAAGGGGTAGATCTGCTTGCCAACTGTGGGCCCTCCTCCCTCTGAGCCTTAGTATGCATCTATAAAATGGGATTAAAATGCCAACTGCACTGATTAGAACTCAGTGAGGGGATATAAATAAGTACAGAGCAAACACCAAGCACAGAACAGGCACCTGGCGTGAGGCAGCTGCTATGGCCACATAAAAACACTCCCAATGCTGAGGGTGGAGCCAGTGCCCTTATGTAGCCTCAGATATGCGGCCCGTTTCCAATGGAAATGAAGTCCAATGGGAATTAAAAAGTCATCTACAGACTGCTTCAGAGCATACAATCCTTACAAACACGTACGACATACCTTTAGATTGAATCCAAATTTTCCCTCTTCGTCGGGCGTGATACGGATCAAGATTAAGTAGCCATCCCCATTGTCATTCTGGAAAACGTTGGAAAGTGGTCAGTTAGGTTACCTCCCTCTCCACCAGGTGCCTCTGCGCCAGGAAGCCTGGGCGGGTCACCGGGTACCTGCGCACCGCAGGGCCTGGGCTCACTCACCTTGTCGCAGTAGTACTGGCTGGAGTCCTCGGTGGAGCCCCCTTTGGTCACCCTGTGGAAGTCCTCTAAGAACTGCTGGTCCACGCCATCTGGGGAGCAAGAGCCTGGAGCGTTTGAAGACGGAGACACAGAACTGGAGGACTTCCGGGTCGGGCAGCTTTGTGCTGGGTTGCTCTCGGGTATGCTCCTTCATCGTGGGGAAGGAGGAGATGTTTTAATCATTGGGTTCATATTTGATCAGAGCAAACATGACTGACTATGGAGGCCTGACATGCCACAGTTGTCACAAACCCTTGCAACCTTAGAGAGCTCCAGAGGTCAAGCTCAGGGCTCTGGTACCTCCAGAGTCCAACGGGCCACTCTGGTCCCCATCTGGCCTAAATGTCACCACCTGTAGTTTGGGGGGAAGAGGGGAAAAGGACAGGGCAGATCTCAGCTCCCTTCCCAGCTGCACGAGAAGGTGACGGGGAAATGGACCAGCTACTCAGATGCATGTCTCCATCCTTCCGAAAGCCTTTTCCTTCTGTCTCAATCCTGCTGACAGCTCTGCTTCTCAGAGCTCGCGGCTACCCAGAGGGAATGGGACTAATGCTGCATATTCAGGGCAATTTATGTTAATCCTAGTTTGTGTTATTTGCCTGTGACTCCATTAGTTGTCCGTGCTGAGATTACCGGTATATGTTTTATTTTTCTCTAACATGGGTCTTTCTGCATCTTAGAGCTGCAATGTCCAATATGGTAGCCACCAGTCACACATGGCTATTTAAATTTAAATAAAGAGATTAGAAATTTCTTCAATTGTACCAGCGCATTTAAAAAATGATCAATAGCCCTAGCTGGTGTGTTCAGTGGTTGAGCAGTGTTTAAGACCCCGTGCACCAAAGACCCTGTGTTCGATTCCTGGTCAAAGGCACATAACTGGGTTGTGGTACAATCCCTGCCCTAGTCAGGGCATGTGCAGGAGGCAACTAATCAATGTATCTCTCTCACATTGATGTGTCTGTCTCTGTCTCTCTCTCTCTCTCTCTCTCTCTTTCTCTCTCTCTCTCTCCCCTTCCCTCTCCCTCCCTTCCTGTCCCTCTAAAAACCAATGGAAAAAATATCCTGTGCTGAGGATGAAAAAATAAATTGGGAAAAAAAAGTCAATAGTCTCATGAGGCTAATGGTTCCTTTACTGGACAAGCGCAGTTATAAAACATTTCCAGCATCACAGAAGTTCTTGGAGAACTACAGAGTTAGAACTGAACAGGCCTCTGCTCATCGGGTCCGACTCCCCTTCACAGATGAAGAAACTATCGTCCAGAGACACCGAGTGGCTTGACCAAGGTCACACAGCTTTCCCCTCACTTAATGGGTACCTGAGCATCTCTTTCCTCTCCAGGCTGTGCCAAGTCTGCTCCTAAGACGCCCTCCACACCATTGCTGTGCCAAGTCTGCTCCACCACCACACAGTCTCTAACCTCAAAGGGCCACAGGGAGCACCATCTCAGCCGTCACTGTTTAGGACACTCAACTTCTCTGCATCACACACACCCACACTAGACCTCCCTCCAGAGCCACAGGCCTAGCAAAAGATGCCTTAAAAAGCCTACAGAAAACAGGATTTTCCTCTTGTTCTATATACAGGGTTCAGTGATGGGAGGGGTGAGTAGATGAAGATAGTCAGTTAAAGAGACAAAAGACAGTTGCTGCTGCCTCTTATTAAATCATTATTTCAAGCCCTTATCTGTGAATTTTTCATTAAGTTAGGGCTTCTCTGTTTCCTAGTAAGTTCAAGTTACCTTACTTTAAATACAAAATCAGCATCCTATTCAATTTATTGAGTCACAATTCCAACTTACTGGAATATAAAAATTCAATTACAGGCCAGTGTAGGAATATAGCTACATGCAAGAGAAGAGTTTGGCCTCACGGTTTTCAAGTTGAGGGAAAGGTATGATGGATGGGAAGGCATTTCAGGAAGGATCCTTTGGGACTGAAGCTGTAGACAAGTGGTAAGTTTTCAGACTAAAAATGAATTTACTTAAGGCTACAAAAAATAAAACACAATCTCTCCCACAAGTAGGGCAACTTGCCTATATTTGCATGTGTACAAGAACACCCCCTAGTGGCAGACAAGGTTTAGGAAACCCTATGTCCTGAACTTCCAATAGGAAGATGATGCAAGCAGCACACACAGTTCACACGTGTGGAAGACTCTGGAAGGTGACAGCGATGGAGAGGGTGAAGGGCATGCAAACAAACAAACACACAGGTGAGCAAGGTGACAAAGCAGAAGAGAACAGACTAATGTCAGTAAAATTCTAATGTATTTTATAATCACTCTTTTTCTAAAATTTTTAACGTGTGGATTACATCATCCAAGGTTTTAAAGTACTTTTCCTTTCGGCATAAAACAGCCCACGGTACTCAAAAGAATACATTCAAAGCCATGATGTGCCCCATCCTGCTTTCTAAGTAGGGTCAGAGGGGTTACTTTTATTAAACATGTGACGGCAGCTTTTGGCTGATCAACTGTGTACAGACGATCCCTGCAGGCTGCAGGGACGTTCTGCTCAGCATGGAGGACGGAAAGACAGATGGTGAGGAGGACATCAAATGACAAGGAGCAGTGAGACCGTGGCAGCTGGACACAGCACGGGGATGCCAGGAGCGAGACGCCAAACCAGGCTGGCTTCCTCTCTCCTGGGGGCAGGATGTGCATGCTAACAAGCGAGTGAGTGAGCACGAGCGAGCGAGAGCCTAGTGGGTGAGGAGGGAGCGGTGAAGGGAGCTGTGGGTGGAGCCAGGGCTCCAGGGGAAGGAGTAGGATGAGGGAAGTAAGAAGAGAGGGCGGCTGGAGGAAGCAGGCAGGTGACTAGGGCTGGAGGAGGGAGCAGAAGCAAGAGGTTTGTCCCTGAGGCAGGAAGGGGGCACCTGTCAGAGGAGGAGGGACGGGAAGGGGGACTGCCACTACCATCTGGGATCCAGAGTAGCCAGGGAGGGGCTGACCAGCCCCAGCTCCCTGGGAATATAGGGGTGGAGGCAGGCAGGCAGGCAGGCAGGCCGCCCTCAGCTCCAGAACTGTGGATGTGCCTTCAGAAACAAAGGCCACGGTAGCATTCTTTCCTCTGAAGAGCAACGTTAAAGAGGGTAGAAATGGCAGGACTGCCCATGCAGAAGAGACTCCTGCGTGATGCTTCCCTCGCCCCTCTTGCTTACACCCGAGATAATGACAAATACCTCCGCCCCCAACCTGTGCAGGGGAGCAGCTGTGCTCCCACGGAGGGTTCCACAGCCCTAACTCGCTATGGCGGAAGGATAGGTGGGACACAGCGGGGCCATTTCCCGTCACATTTCTCTCCGAGTCTCTGAGCTTCTTGCGCTCAGGAGAGACCCCAGACCTCTTTCCATTCCTGTCCAGGTGCACGTAAGGCTCGGCCAGGCACGCAGAGCGCGCTCCATGAAGACGCTGGGTGAATAAAGGAGAAGATGCCTTCACGCGGTTCCTGGGGCTCGGGGGGTTACTCTAAAAGAGCATGGAATTCTGTCGGAAACGGGAAGCTCAGGTGAACAGAGGGTGGGTGGGGTCAGCAGTTCTCAGCATCTGGAAGATCAGAGCTCCCGAGAATGCGACAAGGATCTCCTTAGCATGCGGGCTCCGTTTCTTTTGAATAAAATTCCTGGAGAAATGTTTCACAGGGACCCTCACATAAGGGCCGTTGAGTAACAAAAAGATCGGTGTCTTAAGCTTGGGCTCTTGTGATATGGAGACATTCTGAACATGCCATTCTTATCTTGGCAATGAACCCAGGGAGAGACAGCCAAGTGCAAGGAAAATGAGTGCAAAACTCCTAAGGAAACCCTGCTGCTGGCCGGTCTCTGTGGGAGACACGCCGGTCTCTGTGGGAGACACGCCGGTCTCTGTGGGAGACACTTAGACGGGGTCCAGACCCTGTCACCAAGTTCCAATCTGGGTGCCAAGGGTGGAGAGTGGCCGGAGGGATTGGAGTTGTTTAATTTAAAGGACAGTGCGTGGGGCCGCCAGGTAGGGCTGGAAACAGACCCCCTTTGTGGTGTTCCAGGAGCTCGAGGCAGGGACCGGTGGACGTGCTGGGTCCCTGCCAAGGAGGAGGCGCTGCCCAACCCCGGAACAGGCTGCCACCCTGCAGGAGGGCTCCCCGCCACCAGGTGACAGGGCCTGGGGGATTCCTCCATGGCCTAGGGGGATTCCCTAAGTACCTTCCAATACACAGAAATAGTTTAAAGAAATTTTTTTTCCTCCCTGCCGTCGTAAAAGCAAATTTAAAAATGTAACAGTGGTCAATGCACATATAACATGTATCATCGTCACCATGCTTGAGTGCAGCAGCCCTGGGGCATTCACATGGTGTGTGCACAGAAGCTCTGAAATAAAAAGTGGCAGCCGCCCTGTGTCCCACGGAACAAGGCAGCTCTGAAGAAAGAGACGAGCGAACCGCAAAGGCACCAGTGACCACGCAAAGCTCGCCGCCCTCTGTGGAGTGTCTCCTCTGGTGATCCAAACCACGGGTAAAACAGCAGCGTTCTTCACACGCACCCAAATCTGCCCGCAAACCTGCTTCCCTCCAGGGTCTGCTCGGCAAAGCCATTTTCCCTCTAGGGACCTCCCCTCCCGTTTTTCTGGGTGGTGGGGTGGTTCGTTTGGGTTCTTCTGCCACGAAGGAAACTTCCTTCTCTGCAGATTTTGGCCTTTGCTCTGAAACAAGGAAGGGAAGGCAGGAGCCTGGGGAGGAACGCGTACAGCCAGCCCGCTTGGGCACGAAGCAAACTGCCAAGGATTGGTATCTGTGACCCCAAACTTCGCTGTGCTGCTCTGAGCACGGTCCCGTCCCCGGTGACTCTTCCGCCCGAGAGCGTTCAGAGACCCTGAGCTGCGCCACTGGGTTTCGAGCTCCAGTCTAACCGCTCTTTTTCTTCCTTTCTCTTTCTCCTTCTTGCTTGAATGGGTGCAGATCATTACATTAATTCTGCTTTCTAAAAGGAGCCCTCCTCGCTGCCTGTGTCGTATTCATCTGATTTCTCTGACAGAATCCTTTTCGCCTCTTAACACAAATCTGCTGTATAAAACATGTCAAACGTCTCTTAAACATTTTGCAAATACTCACTGAAATAACCACAGTTTTTTTCACCAAGTACAGCTCGACCTTCCCTTCTTGCCGGGGGCAACAGAGAGCCCCCATCCGCAGACGCCCAGGGAGGCCAGCTGCCTCTGGGGACCCATCAGCCAGCAGGGGTCCCCCACCTAACTGAGGTGGTAGGGGCTGCAGCTTTTCAACTGTTCACCCCACTGATAAGTGCAGAGGCTATTTGACTGTGAGACATCTTTTGTCAGTGCACCTGGCAAAGCCCCAACAAGGAAGGCTGACTTTGAATCACTGTTATTTCCAACTTTTTTTTTTAAAGTGTTTTTATTGATTTCAGAGAGGAAGGGAGAGGGAGAAAGAGCTAGAAACATCACTAATGAGAGAGAATCATTGATTAGCTGCCTCCTGCACGCCGCCCCACTGGGGATCGAGCCCGCAACCCAGGCATGTGCCCTTGACCAGAATCGAACCCGGAACCCTTCAGTTCGCAGGCTGACACTCTATCCACTAAGCTAAGCCAAACTGGCTAGGGCGCTACTTTTAACATTTAGCTGCAAAATGAAAAAGTGCCCAAGAAGGACACGTCTTACAAGGTCTGGTGGAAGAGTTTCAGAAAGAATGGATGTGCAATGCGTAGGGGTGAGCAGGGCCAGCAATGTCTTAAACAGGGCTGGAGGAAGTGAATTTGAAATTTAACTGAAATGACCTTAAATTAGAACAGCCTCTGTGGCTAGGGGCTCCTGGACTGGACTGCGGAAGGCCTAAGATGCTCTACAGTTCCATGGTGTGGCGGCAGACCAGGGAAATCGGATGCAGGACACGCAATTCTCAGAACCTTCGGACAATTCCCCAGAACCCCTTCTCCTTTCAGCAAAGGGACAGAGCCCCAGAGTACGACGATGAAGGCTGATCATGTGCCATTTACCCTGCTTGCCCAGAGGCCCCTGAAGGCAAAGATTGGTCTAATTCATCTCGATGTTTCCTCAATGAGCCTTGAAAGATGTATAAAGTGTGCTGCTGGATTAAAACTTCCTCCTTTGAGTGTCAACCTATGAACCAGGAGGTCATGGTTCGATTCCTGGTCAGGGCACATGCCTGGGTTGTGGGCTCGATCCCTTGTAGGTGATGTGTAGGAGGCAGCCAATCAATGATTCTCTTTCATCATTGATGTTTCTATCTCTCTCTCCCATTCCCTTTCTCTCTGAAATCAATAAAAATATATTAAAACAAAAAACAAACAAACAAAAAAAAAACCCATCCCCACAGCATTGGACAGAGTTCCTCTCCCTGCACCTGGCGCTGGGCTGTGCTGTTAACAGCACTTCCTGTGATGATGGAAACAGACTTCATCTGTGCCGTCCAACACGGTGGCTACTACCTACAAGTGGATCTTGAGCTCTTGAAATAAGGATATGTGACTGAGGAACCAAATTTAAATTTTATTTTCCTTTAAATAATTTCAATTGGAATAACCACATGTGGCTAGTGGCTACTGGACTTGTCAGGGAAGGCCTGGCTGCTCCACAATTCCATAACGAGACTGCAAACTGCGGTGGGAAGATCTGACAGGAGGCTGTGCCTGGGCTTCCCAGAGCCCCTGTCAGGTCCCCAAACCCTCCTTCTCCTTTCGGCAAAGAGACAGAAGCCCACTGCAGATGCAGACCAGTTGGAGTGATGCATGCCTGCACGCGCATCTCTAGATTTGCAAAGCCGGGGTCACACGGAGGAACGTACCCGCTTCCACTGCAGCCTCACCAGGCCTGCAGTTGGAGCAAGAGATAGTGATCATTTCAACAAAAGCATTGTCCAAGCTCGGGTCACGAGGAAATAATGGCCAGAGGGATTATTTAACTAGACGTGTTAAGAACACAGATAAGCTAGAAACCGTGACTGCAGCAGAGAGGCAGCAACTGCACATGTACTATGTGGGAAACGAGGTTTGCAATTTACTTGTGAGGCCTAGAGGACAATCAGGTTGCATTTAATGCTTAAAACCTGGAGCTAGAGGGGTAAAAAGTTACCGATTAACTAAAATGCCTCCTTGTGAACCCTATGCTGTTGGGGGAGGCATTATGTTTATATTTGAGGGTTAGTATAGGACTTTACAGAATGGATACCTATGGCCATGGCTGACTAGTTGACCCCATCCCACTTTAGCTTAAGTTGTCATTTTATTTCTTTAGGACCTGTATCTTTTTTTTTTTAAATATATTTTTATTGATTTTTCACAGAGAGGATGGGAGAGAGACAGAGAGTCAGAAACATCGATGAGAGAGAAACATCGATCAGCCGCCTCCTGCACATCCCCCACCGGGGATGTGCCCGCAACTCAGGTACATGCCCCCGACCGGTATCGAACCCGGGACCTCTCAGTCCGCAGGCCGACGCTCTATCCACTGAGCCAAACCGGTTTCGGCAAGGACCTGTATCTTTTCCACTTCAAAAAATGGTTTGAGATGGCTTACCCTACAATGTACAGATATGACAGAACTCTGAACTCATTACAACAAGAGAAAAAATAAAGCAAGGAAGAGTAGGGACTCTATCAGAAACCTGGGCTCAGGGAAGCCAACTCAGTTGAGCATGTCATGGAGCTCTGAGCTCCTTGGTAATCAAGTCAAAAAGGGAACTAGCACATTAGATACGTCTTACTGAATAATAATAGGACTCAAGCTAGTATTTTAGGAGAGATCTTTTTCCTGGCCTTGAGAGGAGTTGGTCACATTTAAACAAGGAGAGTGGGGATATAAAAGAACTTGACGCAAACTGTCCTTGATACAAATTGAACAGAAAATCAGAGATGTTCTACGCATGTTTTTTCTTTGTATTAACTACTCATTAAAGACAAAATGGAAACAAAACCCCAGAGGGCATGCCGTGGTTCTGTGGAGAAGCTTATTTCCAGGAATCTGGAACCCGGCAGCAGTAAAATCTGACAATCTAGAGCAGGGGTCCTTAAACTACGGCCCGAGGGCCACATGCAAATACAAATATTGTATTTGTTCCCATTTTATTTTTTTTTACTTCAAAATAAGATATGTGCAGTGTGCATAGGAATTTGTTCATAGTTTTTTTTTTTTTAAACTATAGTCCGGCCCTCCAACGGTCTGAGGGACAGTGAACTGGCCCCCTGTTTAAAAAGTTTGAGGACCCCTGATCTAGAGAAATACTACTGTGGTTAACATGTCTATGCCTCTGGGGAATGTGGAATGAGACTGAGCTTTGCTCACGGACAGGTAACAACTCTGAGAAGTCCAGCCCCAGACCCCAGGCCCCCAGCCTGTCTTCCAGTGGGCACCCTAGGAAGCTGGCTGCAGCCTCCAGCCCTCAACTCCGGCCATCTGGGCCTCAGCAAACTCCTCAACAGTCAACACAAGCAAGTAAAAAGAGAGAATAACCCAATCTCTTACTCTTGGTGTGGGCTCTGGTTCTGAGAAACCTCCGAATCGCTGTCTTTCGGGGAGAGGGAGCCCTTGTAGGTGTAAAACACATCCTCGGTTTCGGTGATGTACGTCATTTCGTTGGCGAGGTTATCTGCGGAAGAGTGCCGTGGCTTTCGGATCTCATGTCGGAGCCGAGGACTTCGCCTGGGTGGGGAAAAGGTGGAGCGTGAAGTGTTGAAAGCAAATTCCACTTAAAAAATTTATCACACACCAGCGATCTAACTTTGTGCCCTGACCTTTCTAAGAATGACTGGGCTGATGCTGTTGGGAAGTTAAAAGCCAGTTAACCCATTACTACCCCAGAGTCCACCAGAGGCCACATGGGTCCCCAACACTGTCAGCCCAGCGGTGCAGCCCCCAGACCAGTAGGCTCAGTTTCGTAAAGAGGCAAAGGAGACTGGTTTATGCCCTTTGGGAAGGCACTGAGTATTGATGTAGGGTGAGCCATTCTTCAAGGAGAACTCAAGCTCTCAATGCATAAATAATAGGCCATACTGACTGCTGATCAGACAATTTTCCTGATTCTCTTGAACAGTAGAAATAAAAGGTTTAGAAGTCAAAACTCAAACCTTATTTCAACTACTAGTACATCCCTTCATGCAGAGTTCACTTGATCCAAGAAGAAATGTTCGCTCTGTAAAAACATATCCCTTATGTGATGTTAGATGGACATCACAGCACTATCCTTTTCCTCTGATAGCAGCAGTAGCTGTGTGACCTTAGGCAAGTCACCTCACCTCCCTGGGCCTTAGCTGCACCTGCCTGCTCCTGAGAATAAAGCAGAAGAGGCGATGTTCTCAGGACGCCAGGGGCAGCCCCTGGGCATCGGCTACTGCAGTGGCGATTCCAGGAGCTTAGCTTTCTAAGTTCTATTTTCCCTCGGCTTTTCCTCCTGCCCCTTGTGAGCCATTTGTCCTTGGGACTGTCAGGGCCTCCACCATTCACCACCCCCTGGGCCTGGACAATCAATAACACGGTGTCCACAGTAGAGTAGAAAGGCTGGTAACTCCTTAGGGAGGACCTATAAATAGCATCAGAGCTCCCGCCAAGGGTGTGGCAACATCAAACCCAGCTGTCCTCCTGGGTGCCATCCTGGACCTCTGCTGTCCCTGGCACTGCTGCCTAAGATACTTCCAGGCAAATTAAGCTACTTTATAGCGTAAATTTACCTCTTAAGAATGTGGGCCCATATCTTGGAACCCAAGAAGCAAATCTGCTCAGCCCTGTTACGACTAACAACAAATACCATCGTCATCCCTGCCCAGGGCATGGGGCTCCAGTGGCAGGTCCTTACCCAGAGGCCTGTGAGAATTTCCCTCAGCCTGGGAACTTAAAGGTTCACAGGTCTTTTGTGAATAGAACAGAAAGCCACACTCCTACCCTAGCATGGAGCTGGGGCAATGTTTTCAGATGGGTGTCCCTTCTGCGGCTGACGCCAGGGTGCAGGGGAGGCACTCACAGAAATCGCCTGATGCCTTCGGGGGACATTGTAATAAAATAACAATAATAATCCCACCTCAAACTATTTATTTAGCATTACTTCTTTTATGAAAATTTTTATAATCCTTTTATATTTGGGGCGACTGAGACCAGAGAGGTAGAGAAACTTGTGAATGAGCAGGAAAGTTAAAGCTGAGCCTGGGTTTTTCAGCTACAAACCCAGTGCCCTTCCCTGGTGCCCAACTGCCACTTCCTTCCTTTTCCCCAACTCCATCATCTTAAACGGTGGCAGGCTCCCTCCCCAAGTGCATTTGCTACTGTTGCTGAGGATCGCACATCCGTCCATCAGTTTTCCCCAAAGTTTCTTCTGTGATGTTAATGGGAAACATGAGATTAGATAAATAAAACTCAACACGCTCTTTATTACAGGACCTGTTAGAACATTAATTGCTCATGTGCACTCGCGTTCCAAGAGGGCATTCCAGCAGGCTGCAGTTCTCAAATCTAGACCAAATAACTTTAAAAAAAAGAACATCCTGGCATTATCCACCAAGGACAATGTTTAGCTAGACGTGTGCCTTTCGCCAAAACAGTTTCCTCTGCAGCAGCCAAACCTGCCGATGCAAATTCTGTTGTTGGCCATCTCGATTTAGGAATTCATTATTTTTGTTTGTTTGGTTTTTGTTTGTTTGTTTTTGAGAGAAAGTGCTTACGGGTGAGTAATACAAAAAAAGGAGGACGTACCAGTTGGGAGTAATAGGAGGGGACCGAGAAGGCAGGCTCTTGGTTTCTAAATGCTCCACGGATAAGGATCTCCGCATGGCTGGGTTCCAGACCATCCCTCCAATCACCTTTTTGCAATACTGGTTATTTACAGACCTGAAAAACCAGATGCAGGTTCACGTTCTACACTGACATGTTCAACAAGGAAGACATTACAGTGTAAGTGGAACGCTCTGCACACCCTCCCTCCCCGGACCCTGATGACACCGGCAGAGGTTAGCAGGAGTAGAGGTGCAGGGGTCAGAAGCGATCCTTTACTTTCCTGACGTTTCTTTATGTTATTTTTTCTCTTCTGGTGAAGATTTCTCTCTCTCTCTCTTTTTTTTTGGTCTTAATTAAAGCACGCAAGCCGGGCATGTGCCCTTGCCAGGAATCGACGCTCAACCACTGAGCCACGCTGGCTGAGCTGAAGGTTACTTTTGAATTTTATTTGTACCGAGAATTTAAATCTTAGCTATCTAGATGCCTTAGAGCAGTGATGGCGAACCTTTTGAGCTCAGTGTGTCAGCATTTTGAAAAACCCTAACTTAACTCTGGTGCCGTGTCACATATAGAAATTTTTTGATATTTGCAACCATAGTAAAACAAAGACTTATATTTTTGATATTTATTTTATATATTTAAATGCCATTTAACAAAAATCAACCAAAAAAATGAGTTCGCGTGTCACCTCTGACATGCGTGTCATAGGTTCGCCATCACTGCCTTAGAGAGTGAATTATTTCAGAGGATGAAGTTTGAAGCCAGTTTAGAGGAAACTCAGTTCTGGGATTTCTAGATTTTAAAAAATGTTTCGATGTCGTATGAAAACATTCCACACATTTGTTGCAGCCTAAAACCACCAACAGCAACAAAAGAACAAAATCCCCAAGGACACAAACAACACAAAACAACCCCTAGAATATCACTGCACCAATTTACAAGAAGTACCACTGTCACCCTCATCAAAATGTGCACAACAGCACTGCTACCAGAACCTACACCAAATTACCACTGACCGAGAGCACAGCACCGAGGGAGGGCAGCAAGCGGGCGATTCAGAGGTTTAACGTAGCGGCTCCCCAAAGGATGTGTCATGGGTTATTAATAGGTAGACTTAGGGGAAAAAAAAAAGTGTTCCATTGTCCCATAAGCTTGGAGAACACAGAATGGATTTCTTTTATGTGGACCCTCTCAGGCCTCATATGCAAATGTGTCGATGTATCTCTAGGGGTTCACCAAGTCCTGGAACCTAAGCCTCAGTTTCCTCATCTGTAAAATGGGGCTGAGATTTCCCAGGACACTGAAGCTGACGCTGGTAGTAAAGAGTTGCTGACCTGTGCCCCTGGACTACCCCCAACATCCCAAGTGACCCCAGTAGCCAATGAAAGATGGCTGCAGGTTCTCTGACTCCTGAATGGGGCTGGCCTGTGACTGCTGTGACCCAGAGCAGCTGGTCACAGCTGTGCCACTTCTGGACCCAGCCTTTACGATGATCGGCCACCTCTGTCTCAGACTCTTGGAGCCCTGAGCCTGTGTGTATGAAACCCAACTGGAACGCTCACATGAAGAGGCCCTGGGAACACAGAGAGGGTGAGGGGTCCGGGTGAGCCAGCCTGCCAATCATTTCATCAAGGCACCAGGTGTGCGAGGGACATTGTCTTAGACTCTCAGACCAGACTAGCTACCAGCTGCATGTCACTGAGCAAAGAACTGTCTGTCTGAGGCCTTCCCAAATTCCTGACCCACAAAATCTTGAGATATAATACAATGGTTGTTGCTTTAAGTCACCAAAATAAAGGTAGCTTTTTCTGCCACAATGCATAACCAGATGCCCTCCCCCACACTCTATGTTGACTGCATTTTACAGATGAGGACACTGAAGCAGCAAAGTAAATTAAAACAGAAGTGGCACAGGTAGGATTTGAGCCCAGGCTGCTCGGCACCAGAGCCCATGCTCTCAGCTGGCCGGAAGGAATGGGTCCAACTGAGGTAAGCACTGCATTCCAATAAGTTGTGCTCATGGCTTGTTCAGTAATACATCTTCTGAATGTGTAAAATACTAGACAGTATTATAAGAGCAAAAAACTTTGAAAATGTATTTGTTTGTGGTTTATCAGAACCTGAGAGAGAGCACGTAGCGCCATAAATCCTATCACTGACACTAACAGAAACTTCCTACTTATTAAATCTATAGTTACTTAATGATTATCAATGCAACAGGAAAGTCACTGGAGTTGTCTGATCTGACACAGCCCCATATATCAGAGACTGGCTCACACAGGGGAGTTGTTTAGTTAGCAACAGCCACATCAACAATGCAAAAATCACAACACCAATTTCTCAAACCAACAAATGATCTACAAATCATAAGAGTAATTGAGCCCACCCAGGGTGGCTCAGTGGTTTAGCATCAGCGCATGAACCAAGAGGTCCCTCCCGGTTCAATTCCCAGTCAGGGCATATGCCCAGGTTGCAGGCTCGATACCCAGTAGGGGGTGTGCAGGAGGCAGCTGATCGATGTTCCTATCTCTCTATCCGTCTCCCTTCCCCTCTCTCTAAAATCAATAAAAACATTTAAAAAAATAATTGATAAACAATTTCTGCTACAGCGTGTACTTAGAAGGCAATCTGAACACAAATACACAAAAATATACAAAGCATGGTTAGTTTATTTAGAGAATGAATTTTAATCTATATTAAGAGGTAAACATGTATAGGTTAATTTCGTTTACTTTACTACTTATTAAATACTTTGAATATTATTCTTGTACATAATAGTACACATGGGATTGTACTTTTAAGAATTAAATATAATTATGTGCATGATGCAAAGCAAGCACTTAATGATCAGCTATAATTATTACTTGTAATTATAATTGTTATTTCATGATGGTTATATATAGCACATACCAGTCACTTGACTCTGGAAATCTTATTCATTCATTACTACGAAGCATCTGAGGGAATGAATATTCTGTGGGCAAGGCTGTCTTAGTGGCAGCGGGCCAGCAAAGCCCATATGCCAGCTCCACGGTGACCCTGAGTCATCGCCACGTGCTTCCCTTATTGTGACCTGGTGTGAGAGCAGCTGTGATGCTGGCTGCTCGGGAGCTCGGAGGATAGCGGAGTGGAGAGGCAGAAACAGGCGATGGGAACATGAGCAGAATCTGAGCATGTGTGGAAAGAGACACCACTGCCCCCGGAGGGACAGAGGGCAGCCATGGTTCCGAGACCTGTCAGCAGCTCCGGCCCCAGTGCCTGGGGCCTCTGGGTGATGCCATCCCTCCCCGGACTGAGCATGTCCACCCCCCGGTGAGGACCAGGACGTGTTTACTTCTCAGTCGGGCGTGGAGACCAGCGTGTACTCACTTGTTGGGGTTCCTGGAGCCCAGCGTCCAGTACTGAGACAGAACATTCTTTTCCCGAGGCAGCAGCTTCTTTGCCTGAAAGAACGTATGGTGCTCGACACAGGATTTCCACAAGGTTTTGCAAGATCGGTAATTTAACATGTTGAAGGCCACAATGTGATCCCTGGATTCCGTCTGGGAGGAGAAACACAGTAGAGGTTTCATCGGCACAGAAGTAGGCTCAAGGTCTCGGCATCTCACGCCACGCGGGCGGCAGTCACGTGAGACGCGGCAGACCGCAGGAAACTGGCTCCCCAAGGCCTCGGCCACAGCCCGGTGTTGCAGGAATGCTCAGGAGTGGGCTGGTTCACCGTCTTCCTCGTGGGAAAGGCGACCCGAGTCTACTCTTCGTCAGTATCTGTGGTCCTTCGTGAGCATCTCCCTTTCAAAGGTGTCTACGTTTCTAGGTTGGATATATTTGGAACAACCAGAAGGGCTGTAGGATACATTCCTTTGAACATTTAGCTCCGGGCAAATCTCTCCCCTGGAGAGAGAACTTCCACCCAGCAGGCCACGGGAATAATTCCGGAACACTTTGGATCTCTCTACTTGTTTTCCACAAAGCAGAGTGAGACAGAGTGCTCGTGTGGAACCATCAGCGTAATTATCTGCTTTCCTTTCAGCGCCTGAGTTTAGGATGTGTTTTCGTGTTAAAGCACCATCCTGTGCATTTCTGGGCCACCTGGAATCCTGTGGGGATGAGGGGGTGGAGAGGGCGGGAGCCCCAGAGGCTAGCCCTGGTTTTCTCTGGGCTTTCGTGCCCTTGTTTCTAAGCGTTCGCTGCGATGGGGAGCTATTCTAGGTTCACACTCTTCGCAACACTGGGAAATGGACACAGTGACAGTAAGTGAAAAGCCTGCAGCATAACAAGAGGGAGCATGGTGCCTGGAAGGAGCGGCAGCTCTGGTTTACATTCCAGCCCCTCCCCTTTGTAGCGGGGAGCCTCAGCTCCCTCACTGCTGAGCCCTTCTTCCTCATGGAGTTTCTGGCGGCCCGGTCCTCTCAGGAGACACGCACAAAGGCCGCACAAAGGCCAGCATGCACTCGGACACATCAAGGGAAGGGACTGACCCTGCTGACACTACAGCTACGCTCCTGCGCCAGGCGCTCTGACCAATCGTCACGATTCCCGAGAAGCAGGCAGTGCTGCGTTTCTGTAAATAAGGTAACTCGGCTCGGCTAGGGGAAGGTAAGTAACCCGCCCCGTTGGTACATGGCAGAGCTCTCCTGAATCCATCATCTGACTCCAAAGCAAGTTACTTCTCCAACCAGACAAGCAGAGTGAGTTCTACAGAGAACTGCTGGGTCCTCCGGGCTCCGAGTTCCTTTTTCTTCCCACCTAAGCCCTGCTCTTCCCTCCCTGCTCTGCACCTGGCCAACTGCCTTCACCCGCTGAAGGAGCTGAGGTGGTGAAAGACGAGACACAAAGCAAGCGTAGGCAGAACTCACCTGCTTTTGCCGCTGATGTATAAAGAACTTTTTCCTTTTGAAAGAGATTTTTAGAATGTTCACCCTGCATGAAATAAAACACACCAAAAAAGCACATCAGGGATCAGCCGGGCGGTGGCTGACTCCTCCCAATGTGCGTTCTCTGCTCCAGGGTCATGATGACCGGAGTTTACTTCCATGAAGGAATGATCCCGGCCCCATCGCCTCGGCCCAACACCAAGTAGCTGACTGAAGCCAGGAATCACATAGGAGCCGCTGGATTACGATGTAGCTTTTAAATAACAAGAACTATGGGCAGCGTGCTCTTTGCTGCAGCTGCATTTGTGGCAGCTCTGCATGAGCTGGTGTGCTCCTGGGGGAGACGGGGGAGGGTGGTGTGGAGCCGCAGAAAGAGGACCCACATCCCAGCTCCTTACTCAACAGCTGCGTGCCCAGCAGCCCCTGGATTGTTTGCATAACAACACAATTACAGCCTCGACTAACTGAGCATTTTTTATATACCAGGTCCCCTACTAAAAGCTTTACAAGCAGTCCCTCATCTAGCCTTGCAACAGCCTGAAAAGTACGTTTTATGACGCCCAGTTTTCAGATGAGGAAACTGAGGCTTGGAGGCATCACCTCAGTGGCCAACTAGGATGCCTGAAGCCGGGGTCTCGTAGTCCTCCACCGTGAAGTCTGAACGGGGGACAGCGCTGTGTGCCCATGGACTTGTCTTGTGGGGATTCAAGTCTTGGGCCCCCGGGGTTTTTAGACCATAACCGAACACTTGGTAAAAAGTTCAATTAATCAGTAAAAACCGCATTGAAAACACAGTTCTTGCCCAGAGAAAGTTCTCTGAATTCTGGCCAATGCGCTGCTCAGGATTTTTTAATTCCAAAACCTGCCTTGCACCATTTTATCCACATCACCACAGGGGGACGCGGGGTGGGGAAGGGGATGCCGATGAAAACCAAAGTAACGTTCCCAAGTTCTGACTCTGGATCAGATTCAGAGGTTGGAGGTGAACACTTGGGAGGGAGTTTCCATCCCTCTTTTTAGAAATAACCGTTTAAAATTAGAGTTGACATTACTTTGGTTCAGCATATTTGTAAGGCATGATGCAGAAATAATTAGAACCGGTTTGCACTTACCAAGGATAGAAACTTGTGCAAATATATTTTCGGTACACAGCAATGCCCGCGGAAGCAATTCCAATCATTAGATTTAAATTGTGCAGGTCCTGTCAAAAGGAAGAGCTCAGATTCACAGCCTGTTCCGGTCAGGCCCACGTCCTCTGGTATCTCCAAAGCACCCACGCTTTTGTAAACAGCAACGCGCAGAAGCTCCGAAGGGAAAACGTTATGGAAAAGAGGCAAAAATCCCCTCTTAATGGACACTTAAGATCTAAGTATTAGCACCAGGTTCTTCTAGAGTGAACGCACTGACAGTAACACCCCCTCCACCGGTTTCAAAAAGTTACCAGGCCAGTCTGCTCATTCCACAGAATCACTGAGATGAAATTTGAGTTTACATTTTCAACAGTTAGTATGAGGTGTCATATTAAAATCACAAAGGCCCTGCCCCTGCACAGTTTTCTGTAAATCTCAACTCCTGCCACTAGAATGGAGTGCAAAACCAGATTCTAAATCCAATCAAGATGTAAATGCTGCTTATACTAGTAAATCCAATAAGTTCAACATCTGCTAAGAACCTGTGTGCTAGGCGTGCCGTAGATAACGACGATACGGAAGGAAGATACCGCAACTATACGCAGTTTAAGTTTGTTTGCAAACAAGGTATCAGTAAATAAAATTTAAAAATAAAACAGTTCCTTCCCGGCCCTGGCCCAGTAGCTAAGTTTGTTAGAGCGTCATCCCAATACACCAAGGTTGCAAGTTCAATCTCTTGTCGCGGCACATACAAGAAGCAACCAACGTATGCATAAATAAACGGAACAAGTTGATGTTCCTCTCTCTCCTTTCCTCTCTCTCTCTCAAATCAATAAATAAAAATTAAAAAACAAAGAGTCCCTACCCTTGAGTCACCTGTCTCCCTATTTACCCGATTAGATACTTGAAATTACAAAGCAAGAGCAGAGTTTGACTCAGCCTGTGTTATTTTGGGCTATTGAGGGTCAGTTTTTCCTTTTGTACAATTAGGATTATCGGGCCCACCTCCAAGGGTTTTTATCAGGCTGAAATTAGGGAACATAAGTAAAGAACATAGAACAGGCTTTGGGGACAACTCACTTTGGAAAAAATGATGTGAACACGGGAATTAGAAAAACTGGTCAAAGAACACAGTGCCGATATCATGAAGGATCCAGAGAGCATTCGCTATTGGGCACCCAACCGAAATCACACACATAAGCAAAACCAAATTTCCTTGGTGGAAACAAGGGTTGCATTTAAACATGACACTTGGGATTAAGATACAGGGAAAAATACTAAGCAGGTGGTACAGACACACAAATTAGCAAATAAAGTCAAAGTGGAGCGCAAAACAAGGAAATCAATGAGTGGCTTGGGTGGCAGTGACCTGGGTCTCCAATCTCCTGGGTCTGTGGTCTTTCAGTCTGCACTTCAACCCCGGCAGCACAGACAGTTACGGATCCCTAAGTTCCCATGCCCATCCCAACATCTCCCAGCTCCACTGTACGAGGCAGGACCACAGGACTAGTTCTGGCCAATGTGCTGTACCAGGGGTCCTCAAACTACGGCCCGCGGGCCACATGCAAATACAAATATTGTATTTGTTCCCATTTTGTTTTTTTACTTCAAAATAAGATATGTGCAGTGTGCATAGGAATTTGTTCAGTTTTTTTTTAAACTATAGTCCGGCCCTCCAACGGTCTGAGGGACAGTGAACTGGCCCCCTGTTTAAAAAGTTTGAGGACCCCTGTACTATACGGTCAGAAGTGACAGTGTGTCTTACAAGTGGTGTGCAACCCCCCAGCTTCCTCTTGTGACAGGCGCGAGGCCTTGTGTGAAGATGGTGAGGCCACTGGACAGGGGCGGCCTAGACTGCTGAGTCATACGTGGAGGAGGGCCGCCCTGGAGTTGTCAGGACCCGCTGCAGACTCTGAACTACTGAGAAACTTGGTGGTATTAAGTTTCTGAGATTTAAGGGGTTTTGGTTGATGTGGCATAGCCAGGGGTAACCCAACTCCCTCTGATACCTTGCAGGTGTCAGCTGGCCTCAGGACCCTCATGGGGCACTGGGGGTGGGGAGAACACGGATCAACTGGAGCAGGTATAAAGCCTACTTCACCACTGAAGAAAGTTCTCCACCACATTCCACTAGAGAGAAAATATTATTTGCAAATGGAGTAAAATTTAATGGTCAAGTCCCAAAGTTCATATTTTGTAAGATCCAGTATCTTTAAAAAGAAAAAAATTTTTTTTTTTTTTATTGATTTCAGAGAGGAAGGGAGAGGGAGATAGAGAAACATCAATGATGAAAGAGAATCATTGACTGGCTGCCTCCTGTACACTCATTACTGGGGACTGAGCCCGAAACTTGTGCACGTGCCCTTGACTGGAATCAAACCTGGGACCCTTCAGTCTGCAGGCCGATGCTCTATCCACTGAACCAAACCAGCTAGGGCTAGATTCAGTATGTTTTTCCTACTTTATTACCTATGTCATAACTTGCCTTCCACAGTTATGGGCCTGAAGAAAGTGTTTGTATGCATTCCAAAAACATAATACAGAGATAAAATTTGGCCATTGACTCAACTTCCCTTAGCCTCATCTGCAAAATGAGATAATTAGACTACCAATTTCAAAGGTTACTATAATCTTTAAATGAGACCTTCTGGTTTCATATGAGACCATCTGGAACAAATGACTAGGTGTTCCACCAATTATTTTCTTTCTTTTGGATATGATGTGGGCCAATTAAAGCTATAAAAAGTAAAGGTCAGATATCAATTAGAAAGGGCTGGGATCATGTACTGAAGGCACTACTTATGTGCTATTAAGTCCACGAGTATCAGTTACTCCATCTGTAAAAAGGGAGTAATGATAATACCCCATGGGAAATAAGCCACTGTGTGGCAGATGAAAAGTGCTCAGAAAATATTTGATGTTGGTCCATTTTATTTAAAAAGTCACAGCCAGCCCTGGCTGGTGTTGTCCAGTGGTTAGAGTGTCGGCCCAAGCACCAAAGGGTCTTAGGTTCGATTCCTGGGCAAGGGCACATACCTGAGTTGCAGGATCGATCCCCGGCCCTGGTTGGGGACGCCTGCGGCAGGCAACCAAGCCATGTGTCTCTTTCTCAATGATGTTTTTCTCTCTCTCCCTCTCCCTCCCTCCCTTCCACTCTCTATAAAAAAAAAAAAAAAAAAATCAATGGAAAAAATATCCTCAGGTGAAGTTTAACAACAAAAAAAGTCACAACCAATTTAAAATATTGATTTTCATAATCACACAATGATAATTTTTAAAAAACGATATTTGAGTAATTAGCTCTAATTTGAGCAGCACTGAGATTAAATAGTAGAAACCTTAGCTCATTAAAGTGTTACTTAGAAAACAGACTTCTATACCATTTTTGCTTCTTTAACCACAATATAAAATGGCCGTACAAAAATTACTTGTTTTTAATCTCATGACCTTCCCCAAATAAAGTCTTCAAGTACAAAGGCAACCATGAAAAAAGCAACTGAAGAAACAACTAGCAAAACTCAATATTACTTTATAAATTTCCAAACGTCTAAAAAAAGGTCTTTTTTTTTTTTTTGCAAAAGCAAGACTTTTAGAAGTTTCCAAAGTTTCAGAAATTAAAGTCAAAGTAAGTTTTTGAAGCCAAATGTGCCCCAGGTACCTACCCTACCACTGTGCAGCTCCACGCCATAGAAGTCGAGGGTCCGTGCTATGTTGATGAAGCAAGATTCCGCTTCTGACTGCTTCAGCCCACTACAGAAGAGAGGAGATACAGCATTCACCCACGAGAGGATGGCAACTCCAATTTAAAAAATGAAGACAAAACTAAAAAATTTGATAGCATTACTCCAAGGTTACTAAATGCCTCATGGTACCTAACCCTACATTCCTTAAGCTTAGTCTAACCCTAAGTTCTACTAAACCAGGTTTTCCTTCTTGTCCACTAAGACTTCTAGCCCATCATTTCTTTATTAAATACGCCTTCTCCTTTAGTAGGCTCTCCATGATCAGAGAGCAAAGGCTGTCGCCTTCGGAATCCCCACCCTACTTATTCCAAGTTGCTTGGTAGGTGCTCGGTAGGTCTTTCTGCCTTTATCTACCCTTTTAGCAGCAGCCTCCAACTTCCAAACGTCACCGTACTATTTTAGGACGCTGGCTCCTGCCGGGGGAGCAATTCTGGGAGACAGGATTGGCGGTGCCTTTTAGAAGGGACGCTGGGTGCTTGGCCTTTGTTTTTATGGCCTTCCCAAGCATGTGAGGTCCCTTGAGACCCGGCCTTCCAGTCAGGGGGGGCTGGCAGCTGTGAGTCAGCTGAGGCGAGGGACCAGGAGGCCAGATGGGGCGTGTCTGTTGCAGTGAAGGCTTGGCCCCAGGCAGCCGCAGACGCCTGGGGCTCCATTCTGGAAGTGAGGCAATTTCATGACCTGATGCCAAGAGAGGGCTGCGGACTGAGCCAGCCTGTCAGCACTTTTGTCCACCTGCCTGTGCATTCGACCCCACCTGAAGGCACGGGCCATTTTATTCAATGGGGTGAACTGTTCAAAGGGTTGCCTGGGAGGCCCATTAGTGGGGCAGTCAGATTTAAAAGGGGCCTTTCCTTCAGGAGTTAACGGATTTCAACTGCATCCTGACAAAGAAGGCAGCAAATCGCTCTGAACTCTTACCGCATTTTACACTTTACAGAAAGCCAGTCCTGCCAAATATACATGCCCTCGTTACAGCTCAAAGGTTCGCAAACCCCCGACATCCTGAAAGGATTCGTGAACAAAAGAGCGAGGAGAACAGAGCAAACACAGGGCTAACAGGACCCACCGGGGTTCCCAAAGTAGGCCACCCCATCCCTGCTCTCACCTGTGCTGCTCGTGGAGCGATTCCACCTTCGTGACAAAGTCATCGTTCTGATCTGGTATAAACTGGCTCTCAGAAAGATAGCCCGGATGGTGAATGGAAGAATTATAGTCTCCAAAATGAGCTAGCAAGACAGAATGGGGAGGAAATTGCCCTTTCAACAAGGTCTGCATTTACAGGCATCACAAGAAAAACATTAATTGGAAATATTCTCTCCGAAAGTTCTGCCCCCACAGGAACCTGAGCTTTGCATTAGCTCTGGATTCCACATTTACTACTTGAACTCTCCCCACAGGCGAAGCGCTGCCCAGCGTGCTCCAACCAAATTCTCTCTGTCCCTGAGGTCACATGAGAAGGAAAGGGGAGGCGGTTTGAATCCAGGTCCTATTCTAGTCCCACATCTGGTCAGCACAGCAGTTTGTGCTTATACCCCTGGATAAAGAAAAATACGAGAACCCGCTCAGAGCAATGCCACTCTCTGGATGCCAGGCACCGTGCCGGCTCTCTGCAGTGCCCCAAGGTTGTTTTAACACTGGCCAATCTGCTCTAAGAAACGGGTGAGGACTGCATCTTGACTCGCCCCCTGGAGTTCAGGAAGTGTGGAAGGGAGGGAACCAGGGTATGTTCAGAGGCCCTGGGGTGGGGGGAGTGTGAGGAATAGGAGTAGGTGGGGCTGAAGGGTCTAGGCCAGTCGTGGGCAAACTACGGCCCGCGGGCCGGATCCGGCCCGTTTGAAATGAATAAAACTAAAAAAAAAAAAAAGACCGTACCCTTTTATGTAATGATGTTTACTTTGAATTTATATTAGTTCACACAAACACTCCATCCATGCTTTTGTTCCGGCCCTCCGGTCCAGTTTAAGAACCCATTGTGGCCCTCGAGTCAAAAAGTTTGCCCACCCCTGGTCTAGGCCCATGGTTGGCAAACTGCGGCTCGCGAGCCACATGCGGCTCTTTGGCCCCTTGAGTGTGGCTTTTCCACAAAATACCACTTGCGGGCGTGCACGTACAGTGCGACTGAAACTTCTTGGCCCATGCGCAGAAGTCGGTATTTTGTGGAAGAGCCACACTCAAGGAGCCGCAGTTTGCCAACCACTGCTCTAGAGCAGTGGTTCTCAACCTTCCTAATGCTGCGACCCTTCAATACAGTTCCTCATGTTGTGGTGACCCCCAATTTCATTGTTACAAATTGAACATAATTAAAGCATAGTGATTAATCACAAAAACAATATGCAATTATATATGTGTTTTCTGATGGTCTTAGGTGACCCCTGTGAAAGGGTCGTTCGACCCCCAAAGGGGTCGCGACCCACAGGTTGAGAACCGCTGGTCTAGGCCCTGGCAAGGCTGAGGGAAGAGTTTTGGGGAAGGAGGAAACATTCTTAGGGGACTCAGAAGATAGGAAGACAGATGCTGGGGCTGTCAGGGAAATAACGTTGGGGACTTGCAACCAGAGGGGGAAAAGGAAAGGGGCCCACAGAGGAACTCCCAGACTAGCCCCTGGGCCTAATGGCACTTTCTCCTCCAGGTCCTGGACTGCCCTCTGCAGACAGGGCCCACTGAGGGCTGTGGTGTGATGGGCATTCCTGAGAGCTGTGCAGTGAGCACCCAACCTGTACCAGTGTGGGTGGCTGCCCTGAGGCCTAGTATTTCACTTTCTTGACAAAAGAGGCTATTTCATCTTTTTAAAAATATGAACCTAGATCTTTCCAAAGGTTTTCATGTCGTTCTCCTGCGGCTGGCTTCAACGTCAAGGGGCTTCTGAGGACTCAGGATCATTTCAGAGCACCCACTCAGCACAGAGGGTTTCTAAGTCAAACACCACTCCTCTGTCACATGGACGTGGGCTGGGGAGAGTGAGGTGAGGCTTCAGGGCCAGTCACACACAGGGCCCATTCCCTCCTTGCACTGTTCCTTTTGGGCTGGGAGTGGGCCAACTCATCTTTAGGGCCTAACTCTTACACATGGCACACAGTAGGTGCTCAAGGCTGTGTTGCTCAGAATTGACTTGTATGGAGGCTACTGCAAAGTTCAGCTTTGGAAGGGAAGAGGGCAGAAAGCCAAGTGATCTATGCAGGCAGACTTGGTCAAGGGTAGACCACAGGCCGTGAAGGCCAGCCAACTGTGGCTAAGCTGTGCACGGCAATGTCCAGACTGGATGATGTCAGCACAAGTGTGGCTTGCAGGTGAGCCTGTGCATAGCGAAGTGTGCAATGGCCTTTACAGGAAGTCATTTAGGTGTCCTGACACGGTCCACAGCGAGGAAAGCTCGAGAAAGCCTTAGCATCCAAACTCCTCATGTTAAAGGGCAGGAAATGAACATGCAGAGAGGAGAAGGGACCTACCTCGACCACAGAGCCATTTTTTAGCAGTCCAGATCGGAACGCAGGTGATCCACACCCCGGCTAGTGCGCCTGCTAAGCCACCAGCCTGCCTGCTAGGCTCGAGCTGCTGCTGGCCATTGGCTGATGACAGTGGCCATGTCCCCAAAGGGCAACCAAATGCTACAAATGATGTTCCTGAGCCTTGAGGCAGAGTCCTACTAATTTTACTCTGTTGGTTTCGTTAGCTCAGAAGACCCTCTTGGATCTTGATTCCTCGTCCATCATATAACTAGCAGTCCCAGCCCAGCATGGACAACAAGGTTCTCTCTTTAGGCAAGTCACCCACCAACGTCTGAACTGAACACAGGACTGATGAACCTCCCTGAAGGGTGGTTTTCCCTTGAAATCTTAGCTGGCCACTCTGTGCAAGTCCTGTGCTGACCACTAGGGGGAAACAAAGTTAATCAGTGACAAACATCTGGAAAGCCCAGGGCGGTTTCCACTTTGATTCCAACGACATCAGACATTACGGCAAGAGAGACACTCCTGCCATAGGCGATGCTTTCATCCCCATTAAACAGATAATGGAACTGAGACTCAAGGAAGGGGCCTGCCCACTGTTGCTTAGCTGGTCACTTGGAACCTAGACTCTGACCACCGTCCACACTGTTTATCTATTTACTGTACCACACGCCCAAGCAATACATGCAAAAGCTAATTATAGCAGCAGGAAAAGGACACGAGGGCTTCTACATGGGAAATACCTTGCCTTTTAAGTTCCATGCATTCTTCTGGCTGGTATTTTCCTTTTTGTAAAAAAGAGAGAGTATGTCGCGGGAACTCAAACGTGTGGCATCTCAAGTGTCCAGCTGTTCTGCTGGGAAAGCCCTTTACATGCTATTCCTCCAACTCCCACCTGATCTTTGAGGCTCTGCTTGGGGATCCTCCCTAGTAGCTGTTCTAGACTCCCTCCCTCTCCCCCAGGCAGGACCAGCATGTCCTCTGTGCTCAACCCACTGCCAGCATCGCCTGGTCCACCTCTGCCTGCCCACCAGTATGGCAGCCGCTGGCCACATGTGGCTACTGAGCACTTGAAGGTGGCCAGTCCACACCGAGATATGCTGCCAGTGCAAAGTCTGATGGGTTTTCAAAGGCTTAGTATGAAAAAAGTAAAATATCTCATTAATAATTTTTTCATTGATTACATATTAAAATGATAATATTTTGGATATACTCAGTTAAAATATATTAAAACTAATCTCACCTGTTTCATTTTATTTTTTTAATATGGCTACTCGAGAATTACAAACATAGCTCATATTGTATTTCTACTAATATATATATATATATATGTATGTATGTATGTGTGTGTGTGTATATACCCCCCCCCCATGTGCTCTATGGAAACTCTAAAAAATAAATTCCTAAGATCCCAGCAGCGTGTAGAATGACACAAAGCAAGTGGCAGGAATGACCTCCAGCAAATTCCATAGCTTAGGCGGGCCTCGGTTTCCAGGTCTGTAAGACATGACCACGGGGGTTTGTTGTGGAAATCAAATCCAAAATGTGAGCAAAGCCTCTGGCAAAGGTAATGGGCGATAGGGGTCTTCCGTTTTATGGGCTCCCCTCACACCACAGCTCATCTACACTTTTTCCTTCAACCACCTTCCTGAGTGCGACAGCCCTGAGCTGAAGGAGAGAGTAAGTCAGGCTGAGAGAGGAACTATCTGGACAACCAGAGACGCTTCCCCCACAGGAGAGGGAGGGGCACAGCCAAACAGGAGAAGCCGATGACTTTCCCGATACACGCGTCAGAGCAAGCCGTCCGTTCGTGACGCGCTCCCTTGTGACTTACATTGTACTGCGTAGGATGCTAGAACCACCGCTGAGTTAAGAGGGCAGGTCAATCTGTCAGAAGAAAAACACATTAGCAAAGGCACACGAGCCCGAAACACTCGTTGATCACCTGTCTTTCCTTTCTTGAGTGAAGCATGAGACACAACCATGAATCACAGCAAAGACAATTTTATGACACAACTAATAGTAAGCAGTAAAGATGAATGCAACACTAAAGATTTCTGAAAATGGAAAGAACACTTTTTCATGTTTAAAATAATATACATAAATACATATACCATGGAGGTCATGGTTGGCCAGGGTTTTGGCTGGTCAAGAGAGGCCAGGCTCATATCACTAAGAGAAAATTGAACGCTTAGATCCATGGGCGACCTTCGTAACTTTCTGGTAAAGACATGAGACTTTTCATAGGGCTTTCTAACGAAATCCCCGAGGTCTGCTGACTCAATGAATCTCAGTTACTCACTTTCTAGAAGGGTGACCTCCTCTTAAAAGGGAAAAATAGAAAAGCGTTATGAATTTTAAAACTCCAGTGAGTTTTAAATTACCTAATTAAATTAGTTGTTTAAGATTCCTAAGTCTGTTTGCTCCCTGAAGCTTCCAGTCTAGGGGGAACGCTCTGTCCACCTCTCAGTCTCCTGCCATCTGCCAAGTGTCCACAGACTCCAGGTTGGACTGGTTCTTCTACCCTCTTAAGCTCACTGCCCTCCAAGATACCCCATTTCTGCCAGTGGCTCCATCTCTGTCTTGGTCCATATTTCAAATCCTCTGAGTCCTCCCTCTTCTCCATTCCACCTGGGGTTCCACAGTCTACTTAGGAGCCCGGCCAGCAGGGTCACCCCGAGGGGGAGGGGTGCATTGGGAAAGGGCTGAACCAGCAGCAGGAATGAAGGCCTGCAGGGCGGAGAGACAGATTTTCAAAGCATTCTTCCCAGAAAACCCATGGGAAAGTGAAGAAAACACATGGTTTCCATGGCAGCCCATAAAGATATGAGTCACCTCAACCTCTCTGACTAATCTGGCCGGCCCGCCAAGGTTCCCTGTCTTGTGCGCTGCCTGTGTGCTGGCCCTGCAGCTGCTTGGGAAGGTAGCCTTCCCTCTCGGCGGGGCCCCGACTAGCACTTCTAAATGCTCTCTCCAAGTCTGGAGATACATCCAGGGATGCTCACTGTCTCTTCGTTCGTCTAGAGACCCAGAGAGTCCATGGGGAGAGCAAGCATCAGCCATTCGCTCTCCTGCCAAGATGGGCTTCAGTGGATCTAAGCTGGGTTTTCTTGCTACAGAAAGAGCAGCTGAATGGGATTTGGGGAACATCTTAGGGGAGAGGCTAAAGGGGTCCAGTCTAGATGGAAGAAACAAGCCTACGAGGAAGTCAGAAAGGAAAATATCTCCACTCAGAGGGTAAATATGGTACCGAGTAGAGAACACTGAAAGCCTGCACTGTACTCCTGCCTGGCCCACTCACAGGCCACACCTTCCTAACAGACCCCTTTCCTTCTCTCCGGGCTTTGGGGTCTCCATCTGGGGGACGAGATCACTTATCTCAGCAGAAGGAACTGAAGCCTTCGGTCAGGGCACGATTCGACCCCCAGGAGGAACTCGAACTAGATCCACTAGATCTGTCAAAAGATCCTGAGAAGCAGCTGGTAGCGGCAGGACTCTCCCCTCAGACAGGTGGTGAGGGCCACCAGCAGACCTGATAGTGACAAGGATGCCAGGGTTCTCAGCCAGGAATTCTATCAATTCACATAAAACTATCAAGGGGTATTTTGTCTGGAGAAGAAAAACTGAAGATGACCGATTTCCAACACTTGGAGAGCTGGACTGAAGGCTCCTGAAGGGGCAGGGCCTTGCCCCACTGACCAGCACAGTCGAGTGCCTGTGTCATAGCAGGTGCTTGCGAAGTGTTTGCGAGACAAACCAATGAGTGAGGGGAGGGGTATCTTTTCACTCACCACCCAGGGGGACACACCTCCTCACTGCGCTACCACCCCAACCCCAGCTCATCACAGCAGTGCGCAAAGACTTCCAGCCCACACCTGCATCTCTTCCTCCTCAAACCCCAGGACCACGTGCTCTCCACACTCAGCCTGGTCCTCACTGCTTCGTGGGCTCTGGTATCACTTCCCCAGCAGTCTGCAAGCTCCCTTCCGAAAGCCGGCCGGAGGCCTGAAGACCTTCCTCAGCAGGACTGCACGGGCAGGAGAGCGGAGGCGGGGAATGGGAGTGAGGTAGCCGTCCCCACCAGCCTACCTGCTGCACTTTCCTCTGTAAGCCAAGCGCAAACTCAGGACTTGGAGGAGGTGGCTCAGGGACCACTGGCTTGGCGTCTCCCGCCCTCCCTGAGCTTTCTGCGCCTCACTTTCCAGCCACTGAGATGGTCCCGATACCCAAGAAGTGCTGAACCATGGGCAGGTGCTCATGTCTTTGAGCAAAGTGTCCCGGAGAGGAAATGAATCACCCGCAGGTACCAGGGGCTCCAAAGTGGGCCTAATGAGGCCTAATGAGGCCTGATCCTGCCTTCCTGAAGGAGGCCCTGTTCACACTCGGGGTCCCTCCCTCCCTGTGAAATTTCTCAGGTCTTTACCAGGAAGATATCTGTACCTTTTATAACAAAATTGAAACAACACGAAAGGAATGTTATCGATCCTTCGCCTCTGTAAACCAGGATGGAGTTGAACACATGTCCAAAGCATACGGAATGCTGCTTTCAACATCCACTCTTAGTGGACGTTTAGTGTTGCTACCAGGGGCGCATGCTCATGCGATTAGAAGCAGGGATTTTGCTAATCTGGCAGCTGACAGGGAAAAAAGGAATGCAAAATTCTCATTACCTTCCTTCACAAATATCCATCTTCAGTTGTAGGAAATACAAATGCCTATGAAACAATTATTTTCATTAATTCATCATACTCAAATTGAAATAAGCAAAAACAACAATAACAACACCACCCAAAACAACACTGATGCATCAAGGATAAGACCTGTACATTGGAAAAATAAAATACTAGTAAAGGTACATTTTAATCTAAAGCATCAGGTACCATTTTGCACATTTCAAAGCTGCCCCTTCAGGAAGAATGGCTCACGTGGCTGCCTAAGCCTTGATTGGCAGGGCCGATGGCCAGCCAGCCTCATGCCAGCACAGGCTGTCCTAGGGGTGGCTGAGCAGGGATGGACGGGGTGGAAGCAGCCCATCAAAGATCAGCTGGTCAGGGAGTGCCCAGACCCTCGGCCTGGACCTCCACAATCAAACTTGGGGTGTCTGAGAGCTCCAGGAACTACAGGCATTGGCACTGGCAGCCCCTGCACACAGGAGGGGCTGCTGTTCGGAACGCAGCATTTGCACACCCACGTACGCTCTGCATGGAGTTGCTGAGGGGAGGAGGGTCTGTGGAGACATCTCCTTGGCTGGGGAGCAAGCATCCAGCTGGGCTCTTTCCTGTGCCCCAGGAACTGTGGGTGCTCCAGCAAGAGCATAACCGTCAACTGCAGGCTGCCGGGACCTCCAAGCTGGATTCGGCACTTCTTTGTAAGCAATATCACTTCAAAACCCGGGGCGTGGCGTGTGGGCAGAGCTCGGTAAATCGTCAGGCCCCTCACCAGCCTGTGAGCCTGCCCTCCAGCCAGGTAACGGGAGACGGGGCATCCACAGCGCCGTGCAGGCTGGGAAGGGCCCTGCAGAGCGTTCTATTTCGGGATGCGGCACACCCGTGACACTTGGCCGCTAGCTCCCACTCTTTTTTAAAGCCCGGACTCAAATGGGATAGACATGCCAGCGTCTGGCCAAGATGACAAAAGCGAAACCTCTTGAAATACAATACAGATGCAGCAGAAGTGCTCAGGGGCCAGAGAGAGAGATCATTTTGGCAATCTGAACAGATCACTCTCAGGATTCCTTCAAATTTATGTTTAAAGGTGAAGGTGCTGGTCTTTTGAGACGTGAATGCCTCACCGGGTATCACGACTTCCTATCTGCACAGTTCTGGGCCACATGCATGGTATTTTAGAACTTACTGCCTCATTTCAGCCTCGGAATAACCCTGTGAGGCAGGGACCACCACCTGCATTTTTTACAGATGAGAACACTGAGGTTCAGAGAGGTGATGCGGGGTCAGTCATGTCTTATTGTAACCTGGACACTGACGCTATGGGAAAAATCTGACTATGCTACGAATTTATGTGGCTAAGGGCTAAAAAGCTTAGGACCTATTTCCTAACTCTGATGTTATTACTTTGACTATAATTACCAGCTTCCCTTAATGTGCTGAAGACCAGCATTGAGAGACGGCAGAACACAGACTTGCTGATTCGTGTTTATTCCATAATGGAATCTCTACCTTTTCCACCTAGAACATAATCCGTCCTTTCTAGTTTGTTTCTGTTTATCCCAGCTGACATTCAACCAGAATTAAGTGTTCTCTCCTTCCACAACACTACTGAGAGAAAGAAGAGAAGGGAGGGACTTAGCAATAATCCCATGGAAAAGCTGGGCTTTCGCAGACGAGCCCGGCTAATCGGAGCATCTTCCTAGGGATATAAGCGAGAACATGAGCCTGGGCATCACCATTCATCAAACGCTACCTTGTTGTATGTTCAGCAAAGCTCCTGAGTGAACCCCATGACATCATCACGAAGGGGTTGGGATAGGGGGATGAGGACCTCCCAGATGTACAGGGCCTCATTTTGAGTCTGCCAGTAAATGAAATTCTGTTTAGAGTGATCTACATTTATCAGACACAGCCGCTGTGGAGGTCACCATCAAGGGGACACTTATTTTGCAGTTAGAATAAAGGAAAGCCTTTGAGAAGAGACGCTGGCCGTGCCTGTCTTCAGAAATGCAACCATCGGTCCTAGAGCAGACCCCATCCAGGAGCTCAACTTCAGAGAAAAGCAATCCCTGCCTCCCTGCCCGGATCCTCAGGAAACAAATGTCACCTCTGTGCTCCTTCTCTGACTCTCGGGAGCTAAATTTCTAACTTTTGGGAACTTTTGGACAAGCTACAGAGCTGGGGCTTCAGGAAATACTATGTGCCAGGAACGCAGGTAAAACTCTTCATTTAAGTAAAAACAAACAAACCACACACACACACACACACACACACACACACACACACACACAGGGGTGGCTGCTGCCAGGGCTCCTGCTGCATTTAAGGGAAATTTGGCGCTGAATCCTAGGAGGTGACAGCTCTACTCCGCACCACACTGGGGAAACCACCTATCTGAAGATGGGAGGTGGGGGGTGGGATTTAGAAGGAACACATGGACAAACTGAATTTTACATGGGACTTAGATAAGAACAAAAATTAGCCTATTACTCACCTTAAGCCTAAACCTGCCCCTCTGCAACCTCCACCCACTGGACAGAATTCTACCAACCAAGCTCATCCAATCCCCCTCTCCGCCTGCAGATCAAGGGCAGCCCTTGCTTCCCTCCCAGTCCTCTATCCCGAACTCCCTATGGTTTCCTCAATGTCAGGGCGGCAGGGCAGGAGGATTCTGTTGGCTCCCAGAGGGAGTGAGCTTCCTTCCCATGGGGCACAGAGTGAGTGTCCAGTGACCAGGGAGGGTGCTGAGGAGGGGCCCTGGACTAGGCTGCCCAGCAATCCCTCACTCAAGTTCTCTCACTGGAGAGCATCACAGGGAGGGGGGGGGGACAATCACAAATCGAGGCGGCACAGTTCACACTGGGGTTGGAACCCATTAGCTGGTAGTAAAAGCAATTTAATGGGCCACAACTGGCATTTTAAAAGGAAAAAGAACATCAGAAGACTTCAGAGTACTTTTGCATTTCCTATTATTTTATGAAATGTTTGCTCAGTAATTTATATATAACCTGTGTAATGAATCAAAACATATTTTTACCGTGGGGTTATGATTTTAAAAACGCATTATACATATGTATGTATACACACACACATAATATATACATAACCCATCATGCCATTTTAACCCTTTTCGGTCCAACCTCGAGGCTGACTCGACAGACCAGGCGCTAGGAGCAGGTCCAACGTCGAGCAATAAGAACATTAAAAAGTTCAACATTCAATCCCGTCAATTAACTTGGACCAGATTGTTTGAATTCCAAAAATAACATTGGACCGCAAAGGGTTAAAAGCATTCCTTGAATAGAACTTGCTCTTTGGTAACGGCTTGGGGAAACCTTGGTAGGGTCATTTCAAACACATATTCTTATAGACAATGCCTTCACTTTGCGTCCTTGGGCTTAGGAACTGACCTGCTAGGTGGCGCGTCACTACACTGTCCCTCAGTGCACCGGGGTAAAGGGCCAGTATGGGGGAAAACAAACCACTGTGTGCACAGCCATGGTTACCCAATGAGTCCTGATGGACATCTCTTACACCGGCTTGAAATTTAACTTCACTGTAAACACAGTCCGATCGCCAATGTCTGCTACTGCAGGGGAAGAGGTGCACAAAGAAGGCAAAACAGAGCAATAAACTAATATTTGGCCTTCAAACATATTCAAAGGTAAAATGTGATCATGTGACTACCATTAAAGAAAAAGAAAGGGTAAAAAACAAGATGGCATTCTATGTGTGAGTTGACATCGCCGGCTTGGTGGTGGTCTCCCGGCCACAGTGAGCGCAGAACAGGATTCAATATTCCCGAACATCCATTCATTACTTTTCCTGGTGGAAGTTTCCCTCCCTCAGAAAAATAAAAGTACCCATAATAAAGGGCTTAAGTTGCCATGGGGAAAAACAGAGGCATGGTGGAATCTGCCTAGTACCTGTTCAAACAGCCACAACTTTCCTGTGCCCTCCCCCTCCATTCCAAACACCTTTCTGCCCAGAAAACCCACGTGTCAGCACCAGCGCAAAGCTGGGGCCAGACACCAAGCCCTGAGGGGTAAACAACTCCTATCACAGCCCTTATCTGGTTCGCAGACCGTCTGCACTGGTGGATTCACTGAGGAGAGAAGCTGGCCCAGCTGGTTCTTCTTTCTGGCTCCTGCCACCGGGATCTGACAGAGAATGCTTAGCTCAGAGAGCGCCTGTTATCCTGAAGAGCCTCAATTCTAGCCCTTCGGAGACACATGCTCCTTGATCTGTACATGACTGTTTTACAAACTTGTCTTCCAAGCCCTGCCTGCAGGAGCAGAAAAGGACTTTGTTCTTTGAACACAGGAGCTCTACAGGCAGGAGGGGCGGGGACGGTGAGGGAGGCAGGACCCAGTGGGGGAGGCAGGACCAGGTGGGAGTGCAGAGAGGCAGGACCAAGACTGGACAGGAACGAGCTGATTCAAATTTCAACCTCTGTTACGCCCTCCCACACACACACACACACACACACTTTAATTGGATCATAATTGATGGCACAGTTATATCCAAATGAAGTATTTGGCCACAGTGATAAAATAAAAGAATACATTTTTCGTGATCACTCATTTTTATATACTAAGTAGAAAAACTTTAAAAAAATGTTATTACCTGGTTTGTTCTTGCTGCAGTGTGTTGGGATCAGGTATAAAAAATCTTACTCGAAAATGCAGGGTACAGGGGAAACCTCCTACAACATTTTTCAAAAACAAATTAAATTTTCCCTTTAAAAATAGTCAATGTATATAAGTGGCTGCTCTCCCATCAGTGATACATTTTTCACTGCACTATAGCTTTCCCATTAAGAGCATTAATTTTTAAAAAAAGGAGTGCATAAGTTAATTGACTGCTCAGAAATCATCACGTCTATAAGAAGCAAAATATTGTTTTGCAGCATCAGCATAGAATGAGGCATTATCTACGTTTTATTACAGGTTTAACTTAGGGCTGTGTTCAAACGGTGCACTCCATTATTTGTGTTAGGAATGTAAAAAATCCTTAAATCAGCATAATATACAAAATTCACGAATAAATATTATCTCCCACAGATAGTGATTTTACACTTTTCAAACATTTCCATGTACATTCTCGATTTTAACACTGCTATGAACAGGCGAGGCTGCTACTGCTCGCTCCCTTTTACACATGCGCCAACAGGCTTAGAGGTGTGACTTGCCTTCGGTCACACAGCTGATCACACAACGAGAATGATAGCCCTGTGGTTTCTGATTCTGCTAGGCCACATTTCAAACACATTTTTATACTAAAAGACACATCATGCTTTTAATGCTAAGTGAATCCCAGAAGTGATTAACATGTTAGCAAATATTACATAATTAACATACTCAACTATGGCTTCATGCAACACGACCAAGAGTCAAACACCGCTTGTAGGAATAAAATAAGCCCATTTCTTTTGCTAGCTATAGCAACAGGAGAGTACCAGGTTGTGCTGCTAAGATCCAAGCTCTTCTTAATGTCAATCTCACCCTCTCTGTTACTCAGTAACACTCATTGGCCCTATCTAAGCGCACAGCACTTACTTGCTCTCTGAAACTCAAGCCTTCTCCACCAGGGGCCTCTCACTCACCTCCTCTACCTTAGTTCATGCTGGGCTCCGCCCTTTCCTCTCTTTAGTATCATCTCTCTGATCTCTGGCTTGGGTCAAAGACTTCAATTGGTGCGTGTGCACCTATGAATGTACCTGTGTACAGGTGCCTGGGTGCCAGAGGGTGTGGTGCTGGAACACTGAGTGTGGGCGGACCACCTGCGCATCAGGGGATAGCTAAGTCCTCCCACTGCCTTGGGATGGCCTCCCGGCTCCCCCCACCTCCATCTGTAAGTTGTCACTGTGTGTCTCAGACATGCCTCCAAGTCTTTCTCGTCCTCCTCTGTGCACCCAGAGCATCCTATCATGTGCCCAAAACTATCCTACAACTGTCTCTCCCCTTGTCAGAGTCCCCACGCTCGGCTGTGAGCTCCTTAAGGGCAGGGTCCAAATCTGATTTGGACCAGATTCCCAGAGCTGAGCCCAAGTGCCTTGCCAAAGTCTGAGCTCGGGGCACATTAGCTGAGTGAATGCATCGGTCAGAGAATGAAGGACAGCACCTGTGCGTGCCTGTGTGCACTTATCCCTCTGTGAACTGGAATGAGGCCAGGGGTTATCTGCACAAAGGCTCTGTGCTCCCTGCGGGTACTTCTGAATGCCAAGGGCACACTCATGGGAGGCAGGGACTCTGCGGCCCAGGCTCCAGGTGAGAGCAGCTGTGGGATCAGGGTCTGGGCGACTGTTTCGGCTCCTTCCCATCTGGAGGCTGGGGTGCAGCATTTATGCGTGCACACTTTTGTGTACAAATCCACCTGCCTTCACCCCTCAACCACTCACTGGCCACCTCCTGTGTGGGGGGGGGGGCACTCCAAGGAGTGCAGAGAGGATGTCCCACCCTGCCTCTCACACTGGGCTAAGAAGGCCATCCTCCCTCACCTTGCAAACTGCAAGCTCCTTGACAAAGAGAAAGGCAGGTAACTATGAGCTGAAGGAGAGAATGTTCTGGGGCACGTGAAGCAGATGATGTAAATGTAAGCGGGGGTAGAGGGAGTCGGGACTTGCAGTAGGGAAAGAAATGGGATCTGAGCAGCTTTGAAGAAGGGCAAGATTTGGATATAGGAAGCAAAAGGGAAAAGCATTCCCAACAGAGGGAACAGAATGAGGGAAGGCACAGAGGAGTGTGTGGGGCCCAGCAAGTCATCCAGGTTTGTCTGGGGCATAAGGTGCATAAAGAGAAATAGAGTGTGATGTTGAGAGCCCACCTAAGTGGGAATTAGCCTGCACTGGGACCTCTCACGGGATGAGCTATATGTTACACTTGTGACATCATCTATGCCTCGGTTTCCCGTGACTGGAATTAAGCTGCTGGGAAGGACTAGGTGTGTGTGCCTGTCTCTCTTCCCACCCTGCCTCTCACTCTGGGCTAAGAAAGGCCATCCTCTTTCCTTGTAAGAAGAAAGTGGGTTCCCTGGCTCTTGGCTGCCTTCTTTCACCCTCCCCCATCTTGCTCACAGCTGGTGAGGAGCCCTGGAGGCTGGTCTGGAAGCATCTCACTCACGCTGCCTGGACCACCTGGAGTCCAGGTTCCAGATGTTACAGGCACGCTGATGATCAGAGGGGAGAAGTGGGCCACGATACACTAACACCAAATGAGTGTCCAAATGAGTGAGAAGGTCACACCCACCTTTTAACTGCTTCCTGATGGGCTTGCTTGATTCCAGCCACCTCTGCTGGTTAAGAAAACATAAGATATAAAAAAACCAAACTGTGCAGAAGTCTAGCACATCTTAAAGGGATGGTACTCACGGGAGAGTCCACTGATCCATCGCCATGCTGCAAACCAAAATATTCCTTTTCGGTCACACACAAGTGGTTATATGCCATGTCCAGAAGAACTTGACCGGTGTCCTGTTTCTAGGAATAAAAAGTCAAGTGGGTAAAATTTTAAAACGAATTAAGAACTAGTGGTTTAAAATCTTTCCTGTAGCCCAGCCGGTGTGGTCCAGTGGTAGAGTGTCAACCCATGAACCAAGAGGTCAGGGATTCGACTGCCAGTCAGGGCACATGCCCAGGTTGTGGACTTGACCTTCAGTAGGGGGCATGTGGGAGGCAGCTGATCAATGTTTCTATCTGTCTATCCTCCCTCGCTCACTAAAAATCAATAAAAAAAATAACATTTTATTTTTTAAAATCTTTACTGTAAATAAGGAGTTAAAACATTCAGAGAGATTTTATGTGCACACACATCCCCCGACAAGAAATGCTTTAATAAATTCAAGTTAAGAAGCCACATGGTACGTATGGGAAGTAGGCTAAGGAAAACAACATGAGCAGGACTGAAGGCCGTCCAGTTTAATTTTGTCAGACTTCTTGCTTCCCCTTAGCTGAGATTCCCAAGTGATGATGCCTTAATTGGGAAACTCAGCAATCACAGTGGGAGCACCTCCCGGTGCCCCACCCATGGCTTATCCCCAGCACCACGCTAATCCCACACGGGCTCCCACAGGCTCCTCAGGAGGCACAGAAGTGTCCAAAGGGATGAACAAACTCTCTGCTAACCACGTGAAGGAAGAGGGCGAGGAACACTCCCATGACACCCAAAATACCCTCAAAGTGAGCTGGCATGTGACACCCTGGGGGATTATCTGCCTCACTGCTCCTCGTCATCTGAAGTGAGAAGCCGGTGGGGACATGCAAACACTTCACATCCAGAGCGGGACTCGGCCGCCTTCACCACTCAGAGCGGATGCGGCAGGCGCGAGGCTGAGCATGGGGACAGAGGCACAGTGGGTGTCCCGTTCCTGCCCTCCCGAGGGGCCAGCCGGTGGAAGCTGCACTGTGCCTCGGAGTGTCGAATGCTGTCAAGGGCTGTGAAACGCTCAGGGCACAGTGAGCACACAAGAGGACAACACAAAGGTTCAACGTCCAAGCAGCCTGGGGGCGAGCAACCCCTCCTGCAGCCCCTGAGCCAGGTCTGGAAGGGTGGTCTGGGAGGGTGGTGGGGCTGCGTGACACCTTCCCTCCAGGTGCAGGAGCTGAGAAAAGCCATTTGAAGCAGGCACCCCGGGCACAAAGGCAGGGGCTGGGAAACAGCGTGGGGCGTTGGGAAAGCTGCAAAGTCTACTTTAATGCTCTGACTTCTCAGGAATCCTTTGAACCAAACCACTTAACTGAAGGACAATGTGAATCAGAAATAGACCGTGTATAGAAGAAGCAAAAGCAGGTTTTTTTTGGGGGGGGCGGGGCGGGGTGCAGATAATGTACCTGAAAATAGGTCGCAGCGACCAGGAGGAGGACATTAGGTAACTGTCAGGCCCCCTCCTGCAGGCTCTGCCTTGGCTTGGTCTCATGTTATCTGATCTGATGTGGGAACACGAGACACGCCCAATGCCCGAACACATCCCCTTTCCCCGCAGAGGGCCTGTACCTGCCACTTCCTCTGCCTCGACAACCTCCAGCCCAAGGGAATCACGATGGTGTGGAAAAGATGACTGGCCCACTCATTCCGAACCATGAGATTCTCTCCCCCTAAATGGAGACATTCTCTCAATGCGTCAAAGAGCTATCTGCTCCCCGTGTTGAAATGATTACTTCTATGACTTTATATCAGATTAAATATATTATTATTATTATCATTATTGTTTCTGTTAATCCTCACCCCAGGATATTTTCCCACTGATTTTCTAGAGATTGGAAGGGAGGGGGAGAGAAAGAGAGAAACACGGATGTGAGAGAGACACAACGGTTGGTTGCCTCCCACACACACCCCACCAGGGGCAGGGATCCAGGCTGCAACTGAGATACGTGCACTGAACCGGAATCAAACTCCTGATCCTCAGTCCATGGGCCAACTCTCTATCCCCTGAGCCAAACCCGCCAGGCTTAATCTATTATTAATAACTATAATCCACTGAACATCTACGAGGAGCCAGACATCATGCTAATACGTGCTCTTTTTAAACACAATGTCTCATCTTTGCAAAGTCACCATCAGCAACCTCTTCGCCGATAAGCAAACAGGCCCCGGAAAACTCCGTGTCTTGTGCCATCGGCCGAAGGATGGTCTGCCTGCCTCAGGCCCACTTAATACTAAAGCCTGCCTGTCCCCCTGCCCTGCCTCTCCTCCTCCGGAGTGCATACCACTTCCATTCCAGTATCTCTTGTACACATCTCGCCCAGTTCTCAAAAGAAACAGAAACATAATAAAGGGGCACACTTATAATAACACTCTTCCCAATCCAGTCCCCATCCCGCGAGAGGTCGTCGGTCCATGGCCAGTTCGCTCCCTGGGCTGGGCAAAGGACAACTGATGTCCAGGTCAGCTTCTCTGATGATGCCGTCCCTGGTGAAGACAGTCCGGGCTGAAGGGTCTGAATGAGACAGCGCAAACAATCCCCACAAGTACAAAAATATGAGGCACCGAGACTCTCAGCTGACAGCAGGCCCTCAAGTTCAAGTTCAACGTGAGGAAGCTTTGACCAGGCTGCTGGGAGCTTAGGGAGGCAACCCTGGCAGCAGCGTGATGGTAACAAAGACATTCTCAACTCAGAATGGCCGGGCAGCCGCTGAAGGCCAGGCTGACGGGATTCCCACTCTGGGTGGGTGCTTCCCGTGTCCCCGTCTACAGGGCTCGTCACTCCTTACACACGTTCTTAGCTGGGATTCGAAGACCCTTGCTCTTGGTGTCCTCCTCCCTCCCTGGATAGTCCTCTGTCTGCTTTAGTGCTCTGTCCTCCTCTCTCCAACCTTTAAACATCGAACCTCCTTCGTATCTCCTGTCTACTCACTTCTTAGGGGACCTCATCCAGTTTCATAGCCCCAGACCCCATCTCTACCCTGGGAACACCCACATATGTATCCCAGCCTAGACCCCTGACTCACATATCTACTACCATGGCTACATCCCCTCACAGGTGAGTAACAGGCAACTTGAATGGTTACAACAGGATGGTCACTTCTGCTCCTCTTGCAGCCTTTCTCATCTCTGTAAACTGCAACTCTGTCCTCCTGACCCTAGAGCAGTGATGGCGAACCTATGACACGCGTGTTAGAGGTGACACACGAACTCATTTTTTTGGTTGATTTTTCTTTGTTAAGTGGCATTTAAATATATAAAATAAATATCAAAAATATAAGTCTTTGTTTTACTATGGTTGCAAATATCAAAAAATTTCTATATGTGACACGGCACCAGAGTTAAGTTAGGGTTTTTCAAAATGCTGACACGCCGAGCTCAACAGGTTCACCATCACTGCCCTAGAGTCACCTTGAGGCTTCTTACACATCCCAATCCCATCTGCCAGCAAGTCCCACTGGCCCCACCTTCAAAATAGCTCCTGACTTGGTTTACTCAGCCACCTCCACACTACAACACTGTCCAATTATCACCTCTCCCCTGGGTTGTTATAATAGCCTCTTAGCCCTTGGCCCCAGTCTACTGTCGACCGAGCATCCAGAGTGACACCTGAGTCAGATCATGTTGAGTCTCTGCCCAAACCTCGAAGTGCTTTCTCTCTCCCTCAGAATGACCTACCAGGCTCTGCACAATCCTCCCCACCTCAACTGACCTGCTATCTCTCTGACCTCTCTTGCCACTCTCCTTGCTTATTCTTCTCCCCACACAATGGCTTGCCACACCGTTCTACAACCACACTAACCAGGATTCTGCCCCAGGGCCTTTGCACTGCTGTTTCTTGGACCTGGAATGTGCTTCCTCCAGAGGAGGACAGGATTCTTTTCCTCTTCACTTCCTTTAGGGGAGGCCTTCCCTGTATAAAATGACAACCCCACCGCCTTGTCCCTCCTTGGCACTCTCCATCTTCTTATCCTGCTCGATGTTTCTTCTAAGCACGTAATACCACTGGCATAGTACACATTTGTTTATGGTCCAGTTCCTCTCCGGGATTTTGCTCTGTTTTGGTCACTCCTCTATCCTTTGTACCCAGAACAAAGCCTGGCCCATAGTGGGTGCTCAGTAAACACCTGTCAAACATTCGTGTTCTTGTCAGGAAGAAGTCACAGAGCTGAGGAACAGCTGCAGATTGGCAACATTAACGTTAACAAAGGAGTCAGATATAAATTAACTGTCTGGTTACAGCAACTAGAAGAGATACTTCTGATCTTTGCGGAACAGGTTCAATCACAAAATTCTATAGACGACGATGTCAAAAGGAAACGGCATACAGAACAAAGTTCAGTGAACCAAGAGCAGTTGCTTTTTGAGAGATGTACATATGACCTTGACAAAAGGCCCCTAATCGGTGGTCCCCCAAACTGTAATGCGCATCAGGATTGCTTGGGGAGCCGTTAAAATGCAGATACTCTAGAGAGTATGTTTCAAACACCCAGGAGGGCCGAGGGATTTCTATTTCTAACACGCATCCCAGGGGGTTCTGATGTACTCTCAGAAAATACTGACAAGGGCTGCACCACCCGGAGTACATAAAATTATTTCCATTTTAATTAACTAAAATAAATGTAGCTCATCTGGTGTTCTAGCCGCATGTCAAGTGCTCCATGGCCGCGTGTGGCTAGTGGCCCTGTGTCGGCTGGTATGGATACGGGACACTTCCCGGCATTGCAGGAAGTTCTTCCGGCCAGTGCTGCCCTAGAGGGCAGCTTTTCTACACACTGGTTTAAGAAACAGGTCACAGGTGTATTCTGAGCCCCCTCGATTCTAGACAATTCTAACTAGGCAATTACATGCTCTTGCTGGGCGTGTCCTTCTTCAATAATGCCCCCCATCTGCAAAAGAACGGGGCCACGACCTTAGGGGAGGCCTGGGCAGCTGTGGGAGTGGAAGGGGCAGCTGGGTAGAAAGCTGGGGAATCTCTCTCTCTACTGTCTACTTTCACTCTCTGCCAGGAGACGGGCCCAAACTCCCATGTCCTCAGTCATCTGTCTGCATCTTGTCCCCTGAAGGCAGACAAGGGAGCTGACTTAACCCTGAACCAGGAAGGAGAAATTAGCATGCACCATACTGTGCGGTCAGGAAAACTGCCCTAGTGACCTGGGCTCAGCAGAAAGCAGACTTATGGGTGGGGCAGGAGCCACAGGGGTCAGCTTTGTTGGCCTTTACATTCTTGTGGCCTTTTATCACCCTCCAGTTATTCTCTCGTCCCCCATCTTCTCTTTCTGATACTTTCCCTTGCATATTGAACTTTCCAGGCTGGGGCAGATGCTGGCAGCCAGGCAGGTTGGGGTTGACCCCTTTAGGGTCACAGGATGGGAGAGACAGGCAAAGGTCACGAGCCTCTGTGGTAACTGCAGTGGGGAAGGAAGGAGGGGGGGCAGCGGGGACTGCTACTCTTCATGCATCTTCCTGCTAGGACACTGGAGACCTCATTCCTAACCCTGCCTCTGCCTCGGGCTTGAGGTGGGAGAAGCCAGGCCTCCCCGGAGCCCTGCCATCTGTGAGGCTAACTCTCATTACCTTCCAGACAGGACCCACCCATTTGCACATTTAATGAGCACCTGCTGAGCCCAGTGCCTCACTGGGAATTGAACCTTCGACCTTTCGGTATATGGAATGATGCTCCAACCAACTGAGCCACACTGGCCAGTGCGTGGACATAGTTTTTAAGGGTCTTTCTAGCCCAATCTCAACATACAAGACCTGAGATCTCAAGCTTTCATTTTAAAATGGTTTTCATCTCTTGATTCATAAGATGGAGGAAAAATTATTTCTTAGGAGCATTAACTCAGAAAAAATTAAATGTGGAGAACTTACATTGACTTTAAAGGTCTGTACCAAGCCATCTAGAAAGCGGATGCTGCACACGACTTCGGACCGAGTTTTCTCTTTGGGTAATTCTGAGGTGCGTATGTTATTAATTCTTCCACCAAACGCACGTAATCGGGAGGTCATAACTATCGCTGAATAACCTGCAACAGAAGATGTACCTGTTAGCTCTCTGATATGCAAATTAACAGTTACATGCGAATGCACCCCACAGCCTGCCCGCCCACCCCATACCTGCCTGCTTTGATCTGCACAACAGGAGGACCTCACGAATAATGTGAACTAGATAAAAGACCAGTGTGTCTGCTTAAGTTTTGACTTCTAAGCTCTAAGCAAAGCGTATTGTTAAATTATAATATGTCTAAAGGATTACATGGCTTGTGTTTTATTATCTCCGAGAGATAATATGTACACACATATATATGTATTTCCCATGCTTTTAATTTTTTATGTATGTTTTACTATTTTATATATTTGTGTATCCTACCCCTAAGGTATTACAGAACTAAATGTGATATAAAAATGCCGTAAAATATGAAGACATTTATTGATAAATTAGATTATATTAAAATTAAGGACTTCTATTCATTAAAAGACACTATGTAAAAGAATAAAAAGGCAACCCACAGAAATATTTGCAAAATATATATTTACAAGTATACAAAGAGCTCCTATGAATCAATAAGAAGAAACAAACAAACAAACAAACAACCTGTTAGAATAAAGAAGCCACATCAGTTGTCAGGGAAGTAAAACCACAAAGCACTAGTACTACATACCCACCCGAATGGCCACAGTGAAATCTGACCAAACCAAGTGCTGACCAGGGTGTGGCGCACCTGGAACCTCATGCACAGCTAGTGATGCATTCTGTTTGGCAGCACCTCCTAACCTGAACACATGCATATTCTGTGACATAGTTCTACTTCTAGGCTATTCCCAACAGAAAAATGGACATTTTTCATGACAGCATAGTATGGTGAGTGCTAATTCCTCCTTCCTGGTTCACTAAAATATATGTACAAGTATCTTCATAATAGCCCCAACCTGGAAAAGACAGAAATGTCCCTCAATAGAATGGGTAAGTTGTGGAACAGCACACCATGCATGACTATACAACAAAGGAAATAAAGGAGCCCAGTTTGGCTCAGTGGATAGAGCCTTGGCCTGCGGACCAAAGGGTCCCAGGTTCGATTCCAGTCAAGGGCACATGCCCGGGTTGCGGGCTCAATCCCCAGTAGGGGGCGTAGACAGCCGATCAATTGTTCTCTCTCATCATTGATGTTTCTCTCTCTCTCTCCCTCTCCCTTCTTTTCTGTAATCAATAAAAATATATTTTAAAAAAGCAGTTCTATGAATTTTTTTAAAAAAGGAACCACATTCAACATGAATGAATGTCTCTAACGTTATGTTGAGCAAAAGCAGCCAGACCTAGAGCAGGAACACAATTACATAAAGTCAGATGGGCACAAGATTTATTGGGATAATCACCTAGTAAGTTATGTACCGTAATGTCTAATCACTAGGGTGTAACGTCTAATTATCTGAAACTAATAGAATAATGTATGTGAACTGCAACTAAATTTTTTGTTAAATGATTTTTAAAATCCCACACTTTTCCCTTTTGGTAGCCCTTTGGGGCTCGGTGGGATGCTGCCCCATTCATGAATCACTTAATAAATCCAATCACATCTTCAAAAAAACAACAGGCAAAAGTAGTCAATGTTTATATAGAAAACAGGATGGTTACTTTTGGGTGTAGGGACTGAGGGGGCCCAGGGTCTTCTGGGATGCTTATACTATTCTATTTCTTGATCTGGATGCTAATGAGACTGATGTATCCACTTTATGAAAATCCATCAGGCTCTACACTTATGATTTGTGCACCTTTATGTACACATATTTCAATATCAAGTTTATTTACGAAGAATACATGTATGAAGAGGGGATTCGTGGGCAGGTTAGAATCTGACCACAGTATATCCAGGGAACAGTAAGGTAAGTGGTTTTACTAGTGAATGCAATTGTGGAGTGGTAGGCTAATGATCCAAAAAAGTGTGCAACTGAGCACATGGCCCCATCATGCAGGTAGGAAGCTAAGGATCAAGGTCAGCGTAAGGAATGAAGAAGGTGTAAATCTGACAAGGTTGGGCAGAAGAGCAGCTAAAGATGAAGGACCTAAGGGCAATTTAATGTTCCTTTTTATTAATTCTCCACAAACTCTCTGTAATGCACTGGGCCTTTGCACATGCTGTTCCTTCTGCCTGAAAGCTGTTCCTGCTTTGTGCTTGAATAACTGCTACTCACACCTCAGTGCTCAGTACAGCATCACCTCCTCAGGGAAGCCTTCCTGGTGTCCCTGACCACTCACTTGTGTTATAGGCTCTCCTCTACAGCGCTCATCATAATTTCACATTTATAACTAACTAGAGGCCCGGTGCATGAATTTGTGCACTGATTGGGTCGGGCTGGCTGGGGGAGGGGCTGTGGGCAGTTGGCGAGCCCGTCCCCCATCGGGGTGGGGGGTGGGGGTGATCAGGAGTGGGGCCAGCTGAGGGGAGGGACCAACCAGGGAGGGCCCCCTGGTCGAACTCTCAGTCAAACCCCCTGTCAAGGGGACAATTTGCATATTAGCCTTTTATTATATAAGGATGACGCGATTATTTAACATTTACTCCTCCCACTTAGAGTGAGCTTCGTGAGGGTAGGAACCAGGTCTGATTTTGCTCACTGTATCTCCAACACTTAGCTCTGGGAGGCAGTCAATGAATTTCTCAATGAATCAATGAGTGAAAGGCAGAATGAGATTAAAAAAAAATGAAGCCAAGAGTTACAGTGTGGATAAACAGCAGTTCAACATGATCGACAAACGTGTGCTGGTGGGAGCAGGCAGGAAGAAGGACGGGGTCGGGGCTTCACGCAGAATGCAGCATGGGGCTGTCCCGCAGACCAGGGCTCCTCACGCTGGGGATCTTAAGATGTAGGCTCAGATTCAAGTAGGCCTGGGTGGAGCCCTAACGCCTACATTTCTTGGTCTCCCAGATGATGCTGGGGCTGCTGACCTGGGGTCCACCCTGGAAGGGCAAGCCACACATAACTGGAAAAGCAGCACCCAACATCAGGGCAGGGCCGGAGCTGGGAATCAGTAGCCAGGGAGGGATGAGGACAAAGCAGAATCAAGCCTCGGGAGCCACAGATCACGGCTCAGCTGCAGGAACTGAAAGCACAAAGGAATGGAAGCTGAGTCGAAGATACATCCCAGAGAGAGGGTGCAGGGATCCCTCATCCTGTTTAAGGGGCTCCAGGTGAACCTCCATTCTCCTGCAGGGAGGAGTAGGGGATCTCGTGTTAATAATAATAAAAAAAAATTCCTGGGACCAGCAGGGGAAGGATACTTGTTCTAAAACTTGCAAAATTCCACCCACCCCACCACCTCCACCTTGCCATTTCCAATGCAAATGTCACAGGAGCAGGGATGCATTTTCTGAGTAATACCAAAAGTTATCAAATGACAACAAATGTGTTCTGTTCCATAATGCCTTAACCACGCTGAATTTAAGACGCCAAATTTATTGTTTAGTCCTTTTCTAAGAATTTCAGGTGGGTTAGGACTTTTTTTTAAAAGATACAATAGAACTATTAGTGGGAGGTGCACATCAGAGTCGTCCTCCCCCCGGCCCCCGCCCCCCCCCCCCCACGGGGGAGCTTTTATAAAATATGCCTGTCCTGGCCCCATCCATAGATGGTGATTCAGCATCTGGGGGTGGGGCCCAGAATGGCATTCCCTTTGGGAAGCTCTCAAAGGGAGGGCCTGATAGTCAAGGGCTAGAGGAGTGGGGTTTCGGGTACCTTTCGGCGTGCTGCCCATGGTCAGACTTAGAATATAGGCTCTGCAGAATCTGAGCCATGCATGGTGGGGCCACTTGTGGGAATCAGGCAGGTCCTCAGAACAGCGAAAACAGAGAGCGAATCATAACCACACCATGACACAGAAAGAAACCCAGAGGTGATTTCAAATAGGAGCTGCCAAATGAAAGTCACCTGGGTGGAAGGACCCCTGCAGGCACTGATTTTCAAGCCGCTCCTCACCTGAGACTCCCTACCGCTAGCACCAGCGTGGGTACCAGCGGGTCTTCTGAACTTAACCATAGTGAATGGTGCTGCCCAGCAGAAGCAGGTAGCCAGCTGACAAAATACGGTAAACCGGCAACCCAGAACAGACACACTTTGTCCTCCTCACAGCAACCTCTGTTCCACAAAGGGGTTGGAATGGCACTTAATGACAAGTCATAAGTAGGCACTTCACAAAAGTAGCAGAAATGTTCTTCCCACCCTTGTTCCTAAGGCAAACCTTGATAAGAGGAAGCCTGATAATAAATAACCACACAATCAAGCCATGAAGTGTTTTCAGATTGTCTTGAAATGGCATCTTAAACAATCCAGGCAGGACAATGGGTGCTGACTAACTGCCCTGTTTCCTGTACCACAGCAATTGCGGCCCTCGGGGTTTCTATGGCTTCCTTTATAAGCCTCTTAATTCCAAACAAAGCCACAACCCGACCAGGAACGCTCTGGCCGCTCCCACCACAAATGATTGCAGCTGCAGCTGATGCATTTATCAACATGGGAGCCAAGCTTGCTCTGCCCATACTTTTTCAAAAAGCAAATAGTTACGAATCTGTTCTGCCCTGTAAGAATAGAGGTTCTACTGTAACTATAGTTTTATCAAAGATTCTACTTGCAAAACATAGAAAAGAGGCCACATCTCACTCTGTGCACAGTAGACCCCCGTAGGTACAGCGAGCGTTGAGGGCTAGACGTGTAAAGTACCCACACAGCTAAAACAGAGAGCTAATCAAATTAAGTGGGACACATACCAGGTACTCAATAAAAGACATGTTATTAATAACTAGTAGCCCTGCGCACGAATCCATGCGCCAGTAGGTCACTGCCACCCTCCTGTAGCTCTCTGCCCACTGCCCGCCCTCCTGTAGCTACCCCCCTCTCTCCTTCCCCTCCCCCCCCCCCATAACTTGCTGCCCTGCCCCCTCCTGTAGCTCTCCGAAGCCCACTTGTACCTCGCTGGCCCATCCTCCTGATGATCCGTGATCTGGCTGTGACACACTTGGTCATTACGCTTCAG